GATGCGAGCTTTCCTGAAAAGTAGCCAATCACAGGCGGGTTGCTGTCGCTACCAAACACTGTAGGCGACAGCGGGCCGCTGTGAAAACCAGTCCAATTCTGGGATATCTGCTCCTCTAGTGACCATGGATGATCACTACTTTTCAAGATGCATTATGGGAAATCTTGATTCCCTACTTTTTCCACCCACTAGACATTCAGACACTCATTTAAAATGGTGTAACCACTATATAGTGCCCTAATATAGTGGTTAGGGCAGACATTTAGACAAAACCATAGTTTAAACGTTGGCTCACTCTTTGTTGTTAAATCTTCAGCAATCCTTCACACCAAACATGCATGTAGCGACAGTGCAGAGGAAAACTCCCTTTGAACAGGAAGAAACCTCCAGCAGAACCAGGCTCAGTGTGAGCGGCCATCTGCAGAAACCGACTGGGGTTCAAGGAGACAGAAGCAGACATGCTTCACAGGAGAAGAATAATCATCCAATTGGATTCAGGAGTATTGACTCCTGAATCCAACAGGGATTCTGTAGGCAGGAAGTGTTTCAATGAGTTTTGAAGACATAGGGTCATAGTTTAAAGTCTGATCAGCTTTTCTCTTGACCTGGAAAAAAAATCTTGAATGTAAAACGACGGACTGCAAATGTTTTTAAGTGTGTATGACGTTTTTAAGTGCTGAGTGTGTATGACGTCATCCGTGCGCCGGCTACCGTTCATTCATCCTGCCCGCTGAACTGCTGCTAGTTTTACTCGCATGCCTGGAAGATGTCTAGTGCTACGACCACAGATGATCTCGCTCTCGAAATGGAATTGAACAATTCAGATTAGCTAGCCAGATTAGCTGCCTGTCACAACTCCAGTCCGGCGCGTGGACGACGTCATACACACTCCACTTTGTTTTAAAAAAGTATATAAATATAAAAAATATAACCGCGGATGTCTTGGGTTCCTCTTTAATAAACTTAGCAGTAATCACAAAAAAAAATAAAAACAAACATTTTCATCATGATTATTGAGTCTGGGAGCGGCCATTTTTGCCCAAATATAGTAACACCTCACACCCGACATCTTGTGGCAGTGACGTCACGGTGCGGTAAGCCTAGCGCCATTCTCCCCGCTTTACAAGCAAAATCAATGGGAACTACTAGACACATCTGCAATCAACAACAATTATTGAGGATTTCCAGAGGACTTCACCATTGGAATTCACCAGAGCTATAGTGAAACTGACAATGCCCACGTGCATGGCAGTTGGATGTTGGAATACATAGGGTAAAAGTGAAAAAAAATATCAGTTATTTCACCTTTCCTATTAATGATCCTCCATGGATGGGTTCGTCGTTGGATTGCCAACTTAAGGAGGGAGAATTTTCCAGAGAAAAAACCCGTAATATGTAGCCAACATTTGGAAGAAGAATGTTTTCAAGATGACTTGGATAATGGCACGTTGTGACAAACACCAGATCCAGCACTGGGACTTGATCAACAGCCGATACCGCACCTTGACGTCACAAACCAGTAGGTGGCAGTAGTGTTCTTTGACAACATGGATGCCTCCAGTAAAGCACATTAAAAAGAAATTACTCTTAATTAAAAACATTTATCAATTATTTAACAGTCTGTAATAATTTATATTTAAAGTACTTTCAGAGATTTGTATTCTGAATATAACTGGTTTTAACCTTTTGTTTAATACTCCTGCCACTGTGTATAAGCTGTAACGATCCTTTTCCAGACAAATGTTTAATTCTTGTCAAAGGATAATTGGCCTATCCATGGAGTTCCTCAGGTAGGCGTTCTCAGCCTCCTGCTGGACCGAATGTAAATTCAGGTGACGGTCCACCAACAGGGAGTGTGTTTGTGTAACCACAGTGAGCGGTAAAGCAGTCCTCCGTAGGAGAGCTTCCTGTGGGGGATCCCCTCAGCCCCAGCGCCGCCCCCCCCGCAGACGAAACACTGTGCTGGTGCTGCAGTGCAGGAAGACGTTGGGAGGTCTGTGAGCATCACTGGGGTGATTCAGTCTGATCTGGGGTTTCTCTCTGCTGGACGGTTCACTGGGTGGTGCTGAAAGCTTCTGAGATGGAGGTGGTTTCTCTCTTCCTGATCGGAGAATGATTTCAAAATCTGTCAGAATCAAACCTGTAATTATTTCACAATGAGCCATCGGGCAGAACTGGGACACAGGGGGGTGACTTCCTTCCTAACTCATTCAGACCTTCAGAGCACAGCAGATGGTTGGATTTAGTCTCACCGGTTTCTGTTTGAACCAACAGACATCACCTCCAGGAACCAGATGACCAACAGCGCTACAGCATCTTCACTCCCACAGGAGGAGACTCGGCTCACATACCTGCACGTCTCCACCACGTCCAAACCAGGGCTGGATCACCCTGCCTCATCCCAGGAGAACAAGGAGAACTTGATATCTGCCTCAGATCCCCTGCCACCCCCCACCCCCCTCCAGTCTGATCCAGACCTCCACATCCCAAACACCCTTGACCCCCAAGAGCAGAGCAGCAGGTGATTCAAACTAAAGTAACCTGCTGTTTGTTTTTAGGAGCAATCGGATTATTATTATAGTTATAAATGCCGAGGGTCAAATCGGGGTCAATTTTTTACTTCTTTTACAGTTGTTGACGTCTTAATAAAATATTGATCTTCATTTCAGTTTAACCTATTTTTCTGCTTTTCAGTCTGCAGGTACTGGCCACACCCACCATGTCACAGTGTGAAGAAGGCAGGTGGAGTGTTGGCAGCTTGGAAGAGGCGTCAACCAATCCAAACACAACACTAATCCAGAGTCCCGCCCCTTCAGCGCCACCCACTGTCAAAAAGGTGGAGGGTCCGTGTGTAAAAGGAATCCAGACTGACCCAGGTAACGATGCTCTTACTTGTTTCCCTAAATCTACACATCCTGGTGCTATAGCTTCATTTTTATTTATAGGTTCAGTAAATTATTTGGCTCGTTTCCTTTTTAGGTTAATGAGGCTGAATGAGGCCTGAAATATTTTTTGTAGTGTGATCAAGTATAGAAACGCAATAATCAGCATAGATTCTGACCCTGCTTGATAAGGTCTGATGGATCCATTGCCCCTGTAGAACTGTTCCTGTGCCCTGTGTGTATAAGACATTCTAGAGAAATAAATTAATATGCGCCATAATAAAAAGCGCAAATGATTATGATCATATTTTTATCTTTAGATTTTTGACAATGATATAGAAAGTAAGTTGTTGGTTTCTTTAGATTTTTATTTAGCTTTATTGAGCTATGATCAGTTTTCGTCTTGCGCTGAAGTTTTAGGAGCAGCAAATGGCTCTTTGCTTCACTTGATATTTTAAACAAACTGCTTTTATATAATTCTTTTGTTCGGCTCCCAAGAAAAATTTGGTCTAGACCTTCCACTGAATAAATGTAGAGACTGTTGGAGAAATTATTTGAAAATATCAGAATTTACAGCAGTTTAGTATAAACTTTTTATCATTGTTGCAGCTGATTCTTCGCTCCCTGTCACGCCCACTTTTTCCTCCTCTCCCTTATTGGAGACGCCCCACCCCCAGACAGCTGACCCCAGCCATCCTACAGGTAGTTTGGAGTCTTTTCTTTCAGCTTCCATCCAAAACAAGAATTGGTGCATTCTCTTTATTTTGTTTTTACTTCAGGTGAAGAAGAGAAGGCTGTCAGTTTGCAGCAGACTAGGCAGGTTGTCAACGAGCTGCGTTTGGCGACGCAACGAGCCATCCATCTTTACCAGCAGGTCTGTTTTCCTGACTGCAGCCATGGTTGGATTTTATTTTCTAAATAATCCAAACCGACAGATTCACAAAAAGTCACAATCTATTGTTTTTAGCCAGCTTTCATATCAAAAGTCTCGTCTTGACTTAAAGTTAATTTCTCTGCAGATTGGCGGCTCTGAACGCTACCTGGAGAGCTCTTCCCTTCTGCAGGAGGCCTTCGCCGCCGTTCTCGGGGAGCTGCAGGGTGTGACCCCGCCAGCGTGCAGTAGCGCCCCAGTTGGTCAGATGCAGGATGAGCAGACTAAGGTCCTGCTGGAGAAATACTCTGAGCTCCTGGTTCAGATGACTCAGAACAAACTGAATAAAATCTGAAGCCAAACAACTACGGGTACGGAGGCTGACAGGGGACAGAATTCAGTCAGCGGACAAACTTTGAAAATAAAGGCACCTTATTGTTTTCCAGCCAGCAGTATTTTATTTTTATTTTTAAATCACACTCACTGTTTTAATAAAAATTAAGCTTAAATTTTTAATAAAATGTTGTTTGATCAACTTGTTTCATTTAATCTTTTTATCCAGTACTGACCTGTTGGAGGATTTAAACAAAAATCCAATTTTTGTTTTTAGACTGACTTAGACAACTTCTATTGTCATTTTGTATTCAGACTGCATACAAAACAAGTTTTGGTTTGTATAGCTTTTCAGACAGTAAATTAACATTTCCATTCCATAAAGTGCAGCAGAGATCAAATATTAATGGTGTGGGAGAAAAAACATGGTGCAAAAAAGACATTGATATGGACGTTCAGTGCATTGATATATATATGGTGCAAAAATGCAGGATTTTTGGTTTGGTGTAATCAGTTTGATGCAGTGTGACATGATTTAGAGTTTTTTTTTTTTTACTTTAATGGTGTCATTAAAATCCTTACCTTTGATGTAGCCTCTATAGATGTAAAAAACAAAGTATGTGTATTAATCTATAAATGAAAGTTTTTTTTTTTTTTTTTTTTTTCCAATATTTGCAGATTAAGTATTTTAAAAACCTCAACTTTTATGCAGCTTCTATCAGTTAAAAATGTTTTTTTAGGGTGTAAAATAGAAAATTTAACCAGTATAGTCTTAAAAATGGGGTGGGGTGTAAATTTAACTTTTTCAGAAGTTTTCATATTTATTTTTCCCCATATCTTTTTAATAAGTTTGGGTGGGCGTGGTCTATTTTGCTCCCATCAGGAAGAAGGCAGGGCGTGTTCTGATTGGCTGGAGACAGTCGCCCCGCCTCGTTTCAGTGACGAATCTCAAAGCAGCAACAAAAAGTTGATAGATAAAAATAAAATTAAGAGGCAGCAAATACGAAGGTTTCTCTATAAACTGGAGCGGCTTTGGGGAGCTCCTCAGCGGGGAGAGGAGGCGGCATGAGGCAGAGCGGGCACCGCGGGTCATGACTGCACTGATTCTGCATGGATCCTGGCGGGGCGTCGCAGCGGAGCAGCCGGTCCGGAGGGTCCTGGAAGGGGCACATCATCCAGCAGCTGAGGCACCGAGACCGGATCCAGAACACCACGTTCCAGGACCTGATCCGGTTCTGTAAGAAGCTCAGAGGTTATTCAGGTTCAGAGGAGCTGGAGTCGGTCTGCACCAAACTCCGTTCAGAAAAAGGCCCATTAAAAACAAACCGAAACCACTTCTTTGAAGCCTGAAAATCTGAGATTATCTTTTACAAAGTCTGGTTTTGCTACAGAGTTTCCCTACAGCATGGGTCAGGGTTCAGAACTAAACCGAATGTCAAACTAAAACCTGCTTTATTTTGTCAACATCTGATACAGGAAGTGGTCCAAAACCCAAACCACAGGCTGGTGCGCTTCCTCTTAACAGTGACTCATGTGTGAATGATGATCTGCAGCTGGTTCATCATCTGCAGCTGGTTCAATCATCTGCATCTGGCTCAATCATCTGATGCTGGTTCATCATCTGCAGCTGGCTGGATCATCTGCAGCTGGTTCATCATCTGCAGCTGGTTCAATCATCTGCATCTGGCTCAATCATCTGATGCTGGTTCATCATCTGCAGCTGGCTGGATCATCTGCAGCTGGTTCAATCATCTGTATTGGATCATCTGCAGCTGGTTCAATCATCTGTATTGGATCATCTGCAGCTGGTTAAATCATCTGTAGATGGATAATCTGCAGCTGGTTAAATCATCTGCAGCTGGTTCAATGATCTGCAGCTGGTTCAATGATCTGCAGCTGGTTCAATCATCTGTATTGGATCATCTGCAGCTGGTTCAATCATCTGTAGATGGATAATCTGCAGCTGGTTAAATAATCTGCAGCTGGTTAAATCATCTGCAGCTGGTTAAATCATCTGCAGCTGGTTCAATGATCTGCAGCTGGTTCAATGATCTGCAGCTGGTTCAATCATCTGCAGCTGGCTGGATCATCTGCAGCTGGTTCAATCATCTGCAGCTGGCTTGATCATCTGCAGCTGGTTCAATCACCTGCAGCTGGCTGGATCATCTGCAGCTGGTTCAATCATCTGTATTGGATCACCTGCAGCTGGTTCAATCATCTGCAGCTGGCTCAATCATCTGCAGCTGGTTCAATCATCTGCAGCTGGTTCAATCATCTGTATTGGATCACCTGCAGCTGGTTCAATCATCTGCAGCTGGTTCAATCATCTGCAGCTGGTTCAATCATCTGTATTGGATCACCTGCAGCTGATTGGATCACCTGCAGCTGGCTGGATCATCTGCAGCTGGTTCAATCATCTGCAGCTGGTTCAATCATCTGCAGCTGGTTCAATCATCTGCAGCTGGATAATCTGCAGCTGGTTAAATCATCTGTAGATGGATAATCTGCAGCTGGTTAAATCATCTGTAGATGGATAATCTGCAGCTGGTTAAATCATCTGCAGCTGGTTAAATCATCTGCAGCTGGATAATCTGCAGCTGGTTAAATCATCTGTAGATGGATAATCTGCAGCTGGTTAAATCATCTGCAGCTGGTTAAATCATCTGCAGCTGGATAATCTGCAGCTGGTTAAATCATCTGTAGATGGATAATCTGCAGCTGGTTAAATCATCTGTAGATGGATAATCTGCAGCTGGTTCAATTATCTGCAGCTGGTTAAATCATCTGCAGCTGGTTTAATGATCTGCAGCTGGTTCAATCATCTGCAGCTGGTTCAATCATCTGCAGCTGGTTCAATCATCTGCAGCTGGATCATCATCTGCAGCTGGTTCAATGATCTGCAGCTGGTTCAATCATCTGCAGCTGGTTCAATGATCTGCAGCTGGTTCAATCATCTGCAGCTGGTTAAATCATCTGCAGCTGGATAATCTGCAGCTGGTTTAATGATCTTAGCTGGTTCAATCATCTGCAGCTGGTTCAATCATCTGCAGCTGGTTCAATCATCTGCAGCTGGTTCAATGATCTGCAGCTGGTTCAATCATCTGCAGCTGGTTAAATCATCTGCAGCTGGTTAAATCATCTGTAGATGGATAATCTGCAGCTGGTTAAATCATCTGTAGATGGATAATCTGCAGCTGGTTAAATCATCTGCAGCTGGTTAAATCATCTGCAGCTGGTTCAATCATCTGCAGCTGGTTAAATAATCTGCAGCTGGTTCAATGATCTGAAGCTGGTTCAATGATCTGCAGCTGGTTCAATGATCTGCAGCTGGTTCAATCATCTGCAGCTGGCTCAATCATCTGCAGCTGGATCATCATTTGCAGCTGGTTCAATCATCTGCAGCTGGTTAAATCATCTGTAGATGGATAATCTGCAGCTGGTTAAATCATCTGCAGCTGGTTAAATCATCTGCAGCTGGTTAAATCATCTGTAGATGGATAATCTGCAGCTGGTTAAATCATCTGTAGATGGATAATCTGCAGCTGGTTCAATCATCTGCAGCTGGTTAAATCATCTGCAGCTGGTTTAATGATCTGCAGCTGGTTCAATCATCTGCAGCTGGTTCAATCATCTGCAGCTGGTTCAATCATCTGCAGCTGGTTCAATCATCTGTATTGGATCACCTGCAGCTGATTGGATCACCTGCAGCTGGCTGGATCATCTGCAGCTGGTTCAATCATCTGCAGCTGGATCATCATCTGCAGCTGGTTCAATGATCTGCAGCTGGTTCAATGATCTGCAGCTGGTTCAATCATCTGCAGCTGGATCATCATCTGCAGCTGGTTCAATGATCTGCAGCTGGTTCAATCATCTGCAGCTGGTTCAATCATCTGCAGCTGGTTAAATCATCTGCAGCTGGATAATCTGCAGCTGGTTTAATGATCTTAGCTGGTTCAATCATCTGCAGCTGGTTCAATCATCTGCAGCTGGTTCAATCATCTGCAGCTGGTTCAATGATCTGCAGCTGGTTCAATCATCTGCAGCTGGTTAAATCATCTGCAGCTGGATAATCTGCAGCTGGTTAAATCATCTGTAGATGGATAATCTGCAGCTGGTTAAATAATCTGTAGATGGATAATCTGCAGCTGGTTAAATCATCTGCAGCTGGTTAAATCATCTGCAGCTGGTTCAATCATCTGCAGCTGGTTAAATCATCTGCAGCTGGTTCAATGATCTGAAGCTGGTTCAATGATCTGCAGCTGGTTCAATCATCTGCAGCTGGATCATCATTTGCAGCTGGTTCAATTATCTGCAGCTGGTTAAATCATCTGTAGATGGATAATCTGCAGCTGGTTAAATCATCTGCAGCTGGTTAAATCATCTGCAGCTGGTTAAATCATCTGCAGCTGGTTAAATCATCTGTAGATTGATAATCTGCAGCTGGTTAAATCATCTGCAGCTGGTTAAATCATCTGTAGATGGATAATCTGCAGCTGGTTAAATCATCTGCAGCTGGTTAAATCATCTGTAGATGGATAATCTGCAGCTGGTTAAATCATCTGCAGCTGGTTAAATCATCTGCAGCTGGTTAAATCATCTGTAGATGGATAATCTGCAGCTGGTTAAATCATCTGTAGATGGATAATCTGCAGCTGGTTAAATCATCTGCAGCTGGTTCAATCATCTGCAGCTGGCTCAATCATCTGCAGCTGGATCATCATCTGCAGCTGGTTCAATGATCTGCAGCTGGTTCATCAGCTTTAGCAGCTTTCCATGCTGACTGAGTCTAAATCAGGTCGGATTCTGAGCGGAGTTTGCTTCAGGTGGCGACAGGTGTTCCTGCTGTTCGCTCTGCACGGTTTTCTGCTTTTACCTACAGCTGTTCTGTATGGAAGCCTGTTTCCGACAAATGAAAATAAAGAAATGCCAAATACTCATAATTGTTAGATTCCAAGTCATAATTTGGACGTTCAAAGTTTTAATGAGATACAAATTCATAATTATAAGATACAAAGTCATTATTTCAACGTTCAAAGTCATAATTTCGACTTTCAAAGTCTAAACTTTGACTTGGTATTTCATAATTATGACTTTCAAAGGGACTTTGAAAGTCATAATTATGAAATACCAAGTCACTTTGAAAATCAAAATTATGACTTACAGAATTTGAAAGTCCAATATCTCATAATTCTGACTTTCTATTTGGTAATTTTTTTAACTTTCTTATGGCAGAGACAGGCTTCCATAGTTCCGAATGTATGGCGAGAATATCGTTTTGATGTTACGCAAGATATGGTTTCAGAGATAGAACTTTAAAAAAAGTTTTCTTTTCTTTCTTCTTTTTACTTTTACATTTTTGAAAGGAAGTTTTTTTTTTATTTGCCTTAAAAAAACTTTGCTGCAGCTTCTATCAATTAAAGGTGTAAAATAGTGAGTATAACAGGGACAGGGGTGTAATGTAGCTTTACCCATTCTCAGTCAATAGTTTTGATTTATTTCAACTTTGATTATTTGAAATCCTTAGCAGACTGGGTTTTTATGAATTGCATTCTATTTGGATCCTGCTTCAACAGAAATGCTAACGTTGACACAGCAGAATCATGGCTTTTGGTCAGCACACAGATCAAACAGAAGTGTAGAAGGATCTGAAAATTATGCAATTCCTGAAACTTAGTCTGCCAAGAGATTGAAATAAATTTAAAGAAATCTGAAAAACTGTAAAACTGTCATTCCTAAGATCTTTTTCCTAATTTTTCAACTTTTATCCCTTTAGTTATGTACAAAAAAAACGTACTTACTTTTTGGTGTTTTTTGCAGTGTATGGCATATCTGACCTTAAATTGTTTTTTTTGTACATGATTAAAGGGATACATGCCCCTCGAGGTAGTTTTAAGTCTATTTCTGACGTCTTGCGCATGTGTATTTACTATGGGTATTCTGATCTGACAGAACTATGGTCTCTCTAACCCATGCAAACCCAAAGTTGGTCCTTGAGGGCGGCTGTCCTGCTGGTTCTAGAGGTTTCCCTGCTTCAGCACAGCTGTTTTTCATTGACAGCTGATTATTTGGGTTTTGCTGAACTGCAATTATCAGAATCAGCTGTGCGAAAGCAGGGAAACCTCTAAGACCTGCAGAACAGCGGCCCTCAAGGACAGACTTTGGGGATGGCTGCTTTAACCTTTTCTCTTCTCTCAGATACTCTGCTGCTGGAAAAAACCAGCCTGACCAAGAGGCTCCTGAGCCACTCTGCCAGGTAACTCCTGAGCTCTGACTCGTTCAATCAGTGTGCAGCTAATCCATTGTCTGAGTATGGTAAGGGTGTTTTTGTTTTCTTCATCCAGACCTCCTGAGGGCCCAAACAGTTCGTCTTTGCAGATACAGAGCAGCTCCCTTAAGGAAAAGATGGGAGAGGTGAGATAAAGTGGACCAAACAGGAAACACTGTCTTCATCTATCTAACATCAGCTAAACCACATATCCAACCCAGTGTCAGGCATAACGGCTCATTGATCTGATGATTTGGGCTTATGAGAACAGCTTTCAGTCTTCGATTCGACAAAGAACTACTTGGTTTGCTGAATTATTTCAGACACAAATGTGATGCAGTTTGCTTTCTGTTCTGACTGAGGTTCCTTCTCTGGGCTTCACGTAGAAACGTCTGAAGGTGTCGTTTCCTGATATAAACACCATGTTTTGATTTATCTGCTGCAGCAGAACAACCTGCAAGAGGAAATGAGAGAAACGCTCTACTCTAACTCTTCATTCAGATCCCAGGAAGGGGCTGCAGAAGTTGATCGCTGAGTGTTTCTGTGTCGTTGCAGCTGGCCTATAAGGTAGTGGAGCTGCAGCAGCAGGTTAAGATCAAAGACGATGTCCTCGAGGAGCAACGGAGTCGGTGAGTCTCCCGCCTGAACCTGCTTGCTCACCTGAACGAGTTCGCACGACCCAAACCACCACAATGATGGCTTTAAGCCTCTGCTTATTTTTAAACAGCTAAGAACCAACAGGGGGCCGAAAACTCTTAAAATTTTTCAATAGATTGTAGTTTTATTTTACCCCCTCAATGGTGTTTTATCTGTGCATTTATCCTCAATGATGAAGGCCGCTCCTCATCCTCCTCTCTGCTGTCAGACTGCAGGAGGAAGAGGATCGGCTGAAAGGAGCATCTGATGCCAAGCTGGCGCTTCAGCAGCAGGTGCAGCAGATCGAGGAGAAGAACAAGAAGCTGAAGACGGCGTACGATGCACTGCTGGAGCGTCAGAGGGAGGCGGAGTCAAAAATCAGGGAGGAGAAGGAGAAAGAGGAGGGAATGCTGGAGGACATGATGCACCTTAAGAAACAAGCCGCCGCCCGCATGAACCACCGCAACGAACGGCGCTCCAGGTGAGTTAAGAGGGGGAAACTCACTCGATCCTCCTTCTTTCATTACACTCGCTGGTGTTATGAAAGAAAGGGGTGAAAAGATGGTCAGATGTTCGACTCACTTTAGGTTTTTGATGTTTGTTTCCACCAGAGCTCGACAGGCAACGGTGCAGAAGGAGCTGCGGACGGTGGCCAGGTCAAAGGTCACCGTCGACAGGTGAGCCGTTCCTTTGTGCTCTTAGTTAGAAATCTGCCAAAATGGCGAAGGATCCGCTCTGTGCTTGAATCACCTTTTGTTGGTTTGAGGATGGAACAGCCTGAGAAAGCACAGTAGTAGCCATTTACAATTTCCCCACTTTCCTTGATGGGCCCTTGACTGGTCCCCTACAATTTCTTTTTAGAAACAAACCTCAATCTTTGTACTAAAATATTCTTTCTGTCATGATTTGTGGACATTAAGATCTAAAGAGAAGCGTCATCTCCTGTTTGGACCCTGTAATCCAGTGAAAGGGTGGAGTCAGAGTAAAAAAAAATGGTTGGAAGTTGGAGGGGATTTTGCTGTCATTCGGCTGGCGTTTGACTGGGATGGGCCACTTTGAATGGCTGATAATGTAAACTGCCTGTGATTGGCTACGTATCAGGAAATCCTGCCTCTTGAGACAGTATTTGGTACCTTATCTTGGTATCAAATTAATAGCAAGTAAATACAGGGCAAGTATCACAGATGTTTTTTTTTTTTTTACTATTTAAGCTATATATATCATTAAACTTCTGACCTTTTTAAATCTTTTTCATGTTTTTTTGTTTAGACCAAGTTTAGAATATAAAAGAAAATCCTTTTATTGTCCCACAATGGGGAAATTCTGGTGTTACAGCAGCAAAAAGATGATAGAAAAAGTGGTTTCACAAATGTGTTTAAATGAAAAGTCCGGTCATATTTAGAAGTCAGACTCCTGAAAGGAAGAAACCTCCGGCAGAACCAGGCTCAGTGTGAGAGGCCATCTGCTGAGGCCGACTGGGGTTCAAGGAGACAGAAGCAGACATACAGAAATAAGCAGAGATGCAAAAGGAACTTGTTAACCAGCTTCACAGGCCGCCCGGTCCAGGAAACAGCCAGCCAGGCAGACAATCTCCGAGCCAGCTCCCATGTCAGAGGATGAAAGAGAGCACATCCAGTTACTCACAGTCAGAGAAACAGGACTACACTGAAAAATGGGCAGAGCTCAAACCATCTAGTGGTTCTCCATTGGTTACCATTCACACAAGTTGACATGAGGAGTAGAAACAGATCCTTAAGCCAGTAGCAATCTGAAATTCATCTCTTTTTGATGCATTCCCAACTGACCATCCATTTATTGTAATCTCTGACCTTCTATTTTAATTTAAGCTGGAAAATATGAACGTTTTGATCAGATATGTTATGCTATTTCTTTAATTTCCTGTATTTGTGCTGTTATGAGATAGCCTGACGTAGTCCGACTCAATTCTAGTCAGAATATGAGTCTGATGCTGCTCCATAGAGCTGTGATTATGGGGCGTGTTTCGAACGAACCAGGAAAAAAAAATGCCTCTGCACTCAATTGGATAGACCTACAACCAATAAGAGCAACGGAGTGCGTGACGTATGTTAAGCGAGGCATAGTTGTTGTCCACAAAAATCAAAGCGTGCAGTTTCACGCCTAGAATAAGAAGATGAGACTTGATCGTGTTTCTCTGTTCCTCTTTTAAAATTAATTTGCTGTCGATATCTTCTAGAACAGACCTAATAGCAGAATCTACTCACCCAAACTCTCCAGCGGCAGCCATTATTGTTGTCACCCTAGCGCGCTTTGGTCACGTGGTTGATTACGTTACTCTTGATCATCTGTCCATCATCGTATAAAGTCCGCCCTGACAATTTGATTGGATCGCCTGACAGTGGGCGATAATACTCGCGCTACTATGGAGCAGAGCCAGACCGAACTTCCCCGACCTCAAACTTTGTGGGCGGGACTAAGTTCTGACTGGCACCCAGGCTAGTTATGAGAGGCATTCTCATTTCTTTCTTATATTTGGTTCAAACTTTTAGTTTTTAATGACCCAAAAAAACAAATGATTGAATCACTGCAAACTTTACCCAGCTGTCACGTCTGTCCTTGTCGCTGGTTTTGTAAAAATAGTTTGATCCCAAATCCTTACATGTGATTGGCTACGATGACGTCATGTTCTCAGTCAAAGCAAAGTGTGAGCAGGATGGAACCACAGGTGAGTCAACAAATTTGGGTATAATTGTGCTGAATCTGCACTGAAAAAAACATTTAAAATGCACATTGAGAGTAGATCATGTGCGTGTTTCATATGATTATTAGTCTGTTCGCCATTTTAGTAGAATCCTGACTTCAGCGCTTCGTCATGTTCTGCACTTAGCAGAGAACCAGACTCTGAGCTTTAAGGGGATAAATTCACCTCAGAACTTTGTCTTCCAGTTCATCCAGTGCTCCCACTTCCAGATCCACGTCTCCGAAGAACAAAGACAAGGACGAGTCCACTGGGAGAAGTCAAACTCGACTCTTCAGGTTATTGATCCTCAGACTCCATTACTGACAGTTTAAGTTTTCTCTGAACAAAATGTGAAAGAAAAAGTTTAGGGCTTTTATTCTGCAGAGTATCATATAAAAACATTGTCAAAGTATGTTTGGTTCAGCACTCTGGTCCTCAGTGCAGCTCTCCTTGGTTTAGAGATGGAGGTAAAGACTCTCAGTAGATAGAGCTCACCAGGTCCGAATCACTTTCAAAATAAAGCCCACTGGTTCCAGAAGGGAAAATGGATCAATTGTTTGCTCTGAAAATCTGTTTATAGCATCAAATATTTGGAGAGTTGTATTTACTTCCCCATAAAACTGTTTAAAAAACAGAACAGAATATCTCCTGCTTTAAAGCCAAGGTTTTTTTCCATGCATGATTTCCTGCGACCCGTTTCAAAGCTACATAGCAGAACCAAACCTCTGGTACCGTCTCAATATGGACACTGTAACCCTGTGTTTCAGGTCGGCGTCAGCCACGTCTCCAAGGTCCTTCTTCTCCTCATCAAAGTTCTCCATCAGGGAGATGTTTGAGTGAGTTCCTGGGTGCCGTCCGGTTCTTTGGCTGGGTCTGGGTTTGGTTCATGGTTTCTCTCTGATAGAAGGTGTTTTACTTCAACAGGAAGAAGAGGGGGCATTCGATCCACAGCCTGGAGGAGGACCTTCTGTATCCTGTTGGAATCTGTCTATCAGCCCGAGTTCCGACCCGACCGCTGCAAGTGCTGGTAACTCTCCAAACCATATAAATGTCTGATCACAGCTCCTAACCTGCTGGACTGAGTCCTAAAAGTCTATTCCTGCTCAGATTAACCTCGCTTTTAAATCATAACTCCTCTGGTTCTTGGAAGCAGACCTGCTTTTTTTTTTTTTTTTTACCATCTTTCTAAAGTTGGACAGAACAAAAAAAAAATCTCCCTGCCTCCTAAAGTGATAATCACCATCTCCTGGCCTTTTTCAGGAGCATTTATCAACCCCTGGAACCCCTTGAATGCACCATGAACTCTGCATTCAGGGGGAAACAATACAGCAAAAATAGTACAAAGCCATTGCTTTGGGACTTTTTTCATGGTAAAAGTCATAAACCATAAACTATTTCTGAATAGATTGTATCCAGTTTGTTTGTGTCTCTTTTTAATCATTGCCATTTAAAAAGGTAATGAACAAACAAAAAGAGCAGAAAACATAAACGGATTATCAGTGATCTTTGTCTCCATCTACTGGTCAAACTGAGAACTGCAGTGTTCTCTGGTCTGTTCAGAATAAACAGCCTCTGTGTCCCTGCTCCTTACAAAGAGCTTGTCTGTATTCCGGTTACCCAGCATGCCCCTCTTCCATCCCTCCACATTCACATGCTCACTAATGGGCGTTGCCGTAGTAACGGCTGCTTCTGTTTCTCCTCAGGAGGCCCATGAGCAAGGCATCAACACGGTGCGGTTCAGCTTCAGCTCGGACCTGCTGGCCACAGGCGGGACGGACCGGGTCATCAAGCTTTGGGACGTCCGAGCAGGTAAAACCAGTTCCGGTCAGCTAACACAGCCCTCATGTCTGTTTCCTATGGTTGGTTGTGACCTCACTGATGATGTCACCAGGCTGGTTGAGCCACAGAGGCACTCTGGACGGCAGCACGGAGGGGATCACATGCGTGGAGTTCGACCCTACGGTGAGTGTGGGAACTATGGCAGGCCGTTTTGACATTTATTAGCTTGACTGAATCCAGATGTCTCAAACCTAGAATTGGATTTCTGGATATCTAGAATGTTATATTCAATTTTGATATCTGAAATACTAATTTTGACAAGCAGTAACTATTATAGAGATCTGAAATTCGAGTTCATCCTCGACAGAATTAATTTTTAGATAGGAAAAATTTGATTTTAGATATCTGGAATTAAAAGCCAAATAGACATGAATGGGAAACACAACGTCATTTGTACTAGTAAGAATTACATTTCAGCTATATGAAAGGTTTATTTTAGAAATCTGAAATGTTAATTTTGATAAGGAAGAAACGCATTTGAGACACTTGGATTACATATTTAGTCAAGCTAATAAATGTAAAAAGGGCCACTTAAAATTTGTATTTGTATATTTTCAAGGTATTTTAAAGTTTTTTCTTACTAGTACAATTATATATTTTTCATCCTGATATTTTATTTTTGCTGCCAAATATTAGAGTTTAGGTTATCTGTACAGTTCTGACTAGTAGGAAATTAGTTTTGACCAGTGAGAATCTTATTTTAGAGATTAACAAATGGAACAATAGAGAGGACAGCGCTTCTATTAAATGCCAAAAAGGCCTGCCGGCCTCAAGCTCGCCGTCCAAACAGAACCGCTACTGATTGCCTGTCTGTGTCTGCAGGGCCGGAGGATCCTCGCAGCTTCGCACAATAAGTCCGCTCTGCTGTGGTGCCTGGATGACTCGGTTCCCAAGGTAACCAGGTCTACCTGGGCTTCAGTTTGGATGCAGTTTAATTAGAATCTGTGAATGAATGGAAGTTTGTGTTGGTCAGGTCACTCTGACGGGTCACAGCAGGAAGGTAACAGCAGCCAGGTTCACCTGCTCCCCCCATCAGGTGGTGACAGGAAGCACCGACCGGACCATCAGGCTCTGGGACCTGAAAAGAGCCGCCTGTGAGTGGCCGTCTAATCTGGCCTCTGATTGGCTGAGACTGTGTGTGTCTAAGTCATTCTGTGTCTGCAGGCCTGCAGCAGAGGGAGGTGGCATCATTTTGCAGCGACCTGGTGTGTTCTGAAAACAGCATCATCAGTGGACACTTTGACAGCAAGATCAGAGTCTGGGACTCCAGGTACCTCCTGAGTTTTCAAACACTTTTAATGATGGTCCCAAAAACTTAGTGAGTGTGTCAGGATGGGAGTACCGATCTGGCTCTGCTTGTCAGGACGGTGAGCTGCGTTCAGGAGCTCCCCTCGCAGGGTAGAGTCACTTCGTTGGACCTGAGCTCCGACCGCCGCCAGCTGCTAAGCTGTTGCCGAGACGATTGCCTCCAGCTGGTGGACCTCAGGTGGAGCAACGACCGGATGTGCTTCAGGTAGAGCAGACCCAGTTCTGTTCGGAGGTTCAGTCAGGTGGGCGGAGTCCTGTTGGTAACAAACTGTTTGTTTCAGAGCTGACGGATTCAAATGTGGCAGCGACAGCACCAAGGCCGTCATCAGGTCTGTACCGCCGAACTGCTAAGCATCACAGGGCTTTAACTAGGACGAAGAAATCTGGAATGGAACTTCAAACACACAAACTAATCTCTACATACCCAATAAATCACAACCATGACTGGGCTTCTCTGGGCTCCTGGCTTTTTATGCTCCTGTAGGAAATAAACTACCTGTGATTGGCTACTTTTTTAGGAAATCCCGCCTGCATTGTTTCTTTCTGGTTGTGTTAATGAAACTTTCTATTAATGACAGGGATGGATGTTGGATATGAAGTCAGATGTCAGTTGTTGAAGAGAGCAGCTATTAGCCCAAATATGCTTTCTAACATTACTAGAAAGAAAACAGTACTATCTGAAGAGGCAGGATTCCCTGATAAGTAGCCAATCACGTGCAGAGAAAAGTGCTTTTCTCAAAGTGCACATGGGGAATCTCTTTCAGTTGGGTGCGCTAAAATAAAATTGCTCTCGTGAATTTCTCTCTCTGCAGTCCAGACGGATGCTACCTGGCAGCTGGATCAGCTGACGGAGCCGTTTACATCTGGAACGTTTCCAAAGGGAACCTGGAGACCCGCCTCCAGGGCCAACACAGGTGATTGCAGATAATGTAAACCACACGTGTCGCACTTTGCCAAAAAAAGGCTTATAATGCCATAAAGTAGAGACTTAAGCCCCATTTACACTACCCTTCAAAAACCGAGCTCGGATCAGTTAACCAGGCCGAGCTCTGTTCTGACGACCGTTTACACATCACACTATCTCGGTTCATCGCCTCCTAGTGACGATCTGCAGTATTACTGCCAGTATTAAAGAAGGAAATCAAGCAGTTGGTGGCGGTAATGCACCAAAAGTTGTTTGCCAACCGCCATAAAACACAAGAACAAGAAGACGAGGAGGAAGGAATCAAGCAAATCAAAATGGCGGCGCCCGTCACATTCAGAAAGTTATGCTTGATTATTATTGCTGTACTTCGGTGTTATTGTTTAAAATGCCATTATTTAAAATGTTGCATGGAGAAGATTTTGATTGTTGTTTATAGTTGAAGAAGAAGTTGTTCTTCTTCTGTTTCTGGAGGGGCATTACCGCCAACTACTGGAATTGAGTGTGAATCGGGATGTGCAGCCAGACGGAGATGGCGCGTTCTGCTCATGCGCTCTTGTTATCAGAGAACCGAGCCGAGCTCACCTCTGGAACTGGTCTGCAGTTAGCGCGGTCCGGTTGTGTCTAGCTCGGTTCAGTTCAGTTTGATTTCCATTTACACACGATAAGTTATCTCAGTTACTGAGCTCGGCACGGCCTCGGCACGGTTTTTCAAGGGTAGTGTAAATGGGGTATTATATTCATTTAAAGCATCCAAATTCCCTAAAACTGTGAAATGAGTTATGATACCAAAGTATGTTCGCTTAAACATAAATAATAAATGAAATCATGAAAGAAATTTTATTTTTACCTGTGAAACCAGGCCTTTTCAGCCCTTGATGATGCAGAGTCGGCGAATATAAAAATTAGTTTGAAAAACTCCATCTGTGGAGTTGGCGTCTGAAACCTGATTTGTCAGTAGCTGTGTCCTTAGACAGGATGTGTTCTGTTCCTCTGGTAGTTCTTCCATCACTGCTGTGTCCTGGTCTCTCTCCGGGGAATACGTCGTCAGTGTGGACAGGAGCCGGCGGGCCGTATTGTGGAGAGACATCTGACCAATCGAACAGGCTTTCCTGCAGGGACTCCTCTGAACCGGCCAATCCAGCAGCAGCTACTGTTCTAATGGATCTGAGGGCTGTACTAAAGAAAATTTGTGGGGTTTTAAGCTACATTTTGAGAGAAACAAAGGGAAGTTTAACCTTAATTTTTTGTTTTCTCCCAGGACTGTGCACAGATTTAACAAAGGGAAAACAGATTTAATTAAAGGAACACTGACTCTTTTTTTTTTTTTTTTTTTTTTTTTTAACTAACTTTCAGCTTTATTAAACATGTTAAGTGTCAAGCTTTAGAGTAAAAATATGACCTCAGGACCTCCTGAAGCATCAGGAAATAATTTCTGAAGAAAATGGAAGCGAGTATGTATGGATTGATGCAGAAACTGCTAAAACGGTTCAGTGGACCAGACTAACTGATGAAAAGGTGCTTTATCTCTGAGAGGAAGAACAAAGGTTTCATCATTAGCAGCACTTTGCAGGAATTAAATGTTCATTCCATTCTTATTTTTTCTTATCTTCTTTTGTCTGATAAGGTTCTAAAGTCTGATTTTAAATCCAGGTGCTTATTTATTTAGAGATGTAAGGAACTTGAGGTTTGGGTCTATTTGAAAGGCTGCTGCTCTGATCCGTTTAGCCTCTCAGCTCTGAGGAGGGAAATTTAGGGTCTTTATAGCAAAACTGGAAGTTCAGCTGAGTAATTTAATGCTCAGCTGTATGCCTGAGCTATTTGTTATAGTCCAGTCCGTCTCTTCATCTATGCACAGCAGCAACCCCCTGCTGTTTTTCAGCTGCTTTACAACAGCTGCACCAAAATATGTAAACCTGGTTTGATGCAGTTCCGGTTTCCTGTCACTAGAGGGTGCTACTTCAAACCTTTCTGCTCTCATTGGAGAAATGGTTCCTGGTTCCCTCTGAGATTCTAATCCTAACCTTTTTGCTTATTTCAGCCCAGAACAAGGCTCTTTTCATTTTGTCATTTTTTTTGTTTATATTTAATCTATAAATTTTATCAATTTGTTTTTCAAAAGTGTTGTTTTTTATAGATTATGTGTATTTTTTTTCTTCAAATTTATGTTTTTCGAATTGATTTTTACGAATTTATTTATTTTAAAATTATGTGTCACAGATGGTATTCTCTTCATTTTTGGGGACGGAACCAAGACGTATCTATCGGTCGACATGGATGTTAGCAATTACGTTTGTGTTGGTTTTCATTGCCATTTGTGAACATTTGTATTAGGCTTTCAATCTACAATTTGAAAAGCAAATATAAAAAAAAAGGAAATACTAAATCTGGGTCAAAATCTTTTTGAAAGTTTCAATTCTGGATTAGGATTTTCTTAAAGTTCCATATACAAAACATATTCTTTGCAGGTAGCAATAATGCAACAAAAATCACACCATAGGCTGGTTGACCTTTAGTGACCCCTAGAAACTTTCATTGATATCTATTATAACTGAAAGCAGCACAAACCTTTAACTTCATTTGTTTGGTTCGATGAAGGATGCTTCACTTGGCTATGAGAACTTGATTCTAAACTAAACCCGGTTCTGGTCTGGAACCAGTTTCTGGCTAATTTTTATTATTATTTTTTCCAGTTTGTTTAACCTTTTCTTATATAGCAGATTAGAACTGACTGTCAGGATAGCTGAGGTACTATTTTGGTCCGGACTCCTGGTGTCCAACACCCAGATCTCCTCCAGTTCCGGATGTTTTCTCTTTCTTTCTTGGTGTGTTTAAAAGCTGCTGATGTGACATGTTTTTATTTTTGCTGCTCTGTCTTGATAAGTTCTGTTGAACCTTATGGGTTTAAAGGGAAATGTGTGGAATTGGTTCTTCTGATTTAAGAACTCATCCAGACTCTTTTAATCTTCACTTATTTATACAGTTTGAAGCTTTTTAATCAGACCTGTGTGGAAAGATGTTTTGAATTAAATCAGAAACGCAAAAGTTCCTCTGAAATAAATCCTGATTTTAACCCAATGATGTCTTCCGATTTGATCTTTTTTTTTTCAGGTTATATTCGGTGTACAGGTGCTGGTCATAAAATTAGAATATCATGAAAAAGTAGATTGATTTCAGTAATTCCATTTAAAAAGTGAAACTTGTATATTATATTCATACATTACATACAAACTCATATATTTCAGATGTTTATTTTGTTTAATTTTGATGATTACAAATGACAACAAATGAAAATCTCAAATTCATCATATCAGAAAATTAGAATATTACTGAAGACCAATAAAAACAAAGGATTTATAGAAATGTTGGCCAACTGAAAAGTATGAACATGAAAAGTATGAGCATGTACAGCACTCAGTATTTAGTTGGGCCTCCTTTGGCCTGTATTACTGCAGCAATGCGGCGTGGCATGGAGTCGATCAGTCTGTGGCACTGCTCAGGTGTTATGATAGCCCAGGTTGCTCTAATAGTGGCTTTTAGCTCTTCTGAATTGTTGGGTCTGGTGTATTGCATCTTCTTCTTCACAATACCCCATAGATTTTCTATGGGGTTAAGGTCAGGAGAGTTTGCTGGCCAATTAAGAACAGGGATACCATGGTCCTTCAACCAGGTACTGGTAGCTTTGGCACTGTGTGCAGGTGCCAAGTCCTGTTGGAAAATGAAATCTGCATCTCCAAAAAGTTGGTCAGCTGCAGGAAGCATGAAGTGCTCTAAAACTTCCTGGTATGTGGCTGCGTTGACCCTGGACCTCAGAAAACACAATGGACCAACACCAGCAGATGACATGGCACCCCAAACCATCACTGACTGTGGAAACTTTACACTGGACTTCAAGCAACGTGGATGAAGTGCCTCTCTTCTTTTCCTCCAGACTCTGGGACCTTGATTTCCAAAGGAAATGCAAAATTTACTTTCATCAGAGAACATGACTTTGGACCACTCACCAGCAGTCCAGTCCTGTTTCTCTTTAGCCCAGGCAAGACGCTTCTGACGCTGTCTGTGGTTCAAGAGTGGCTTGACACAAGGAATGCGACAGCAGAAACCCATGTCTTTCATACGTCTGTGTGTGGTGGTTCTTGAAGCACTCACTCCAGCTGCAGTCCACTCTTTGTGAATCTCACCGACATTTTTGAATGGGTTTTGTTTCACAATCCTCTCCAGGGAGCGGTTATCTCTCTTGCTTGTACACTTTTTTCGACCACATCTTTTCCTTCCCTTCGCCTCTCTATTAATGTGCTTGGACACTGAGCTCTGTGAACAGCCAGCCTCTTTAGCGATGACCTTTTGTGTCTTGCCCTCCTTGTGCAAGGTGTCGATGGTCGTCTTTTGGACAACTGTCAAGTCAGCAGTCTTCCCCATGATTGTGTAGCCTATAGAACTAGACTGAAAGACCATTTAAAGGCTTTTGCAGGTGGTTTGAGTTAATTAGCTGATTAGAGTGTGGCACCAGGGGCCATCAATTTTGAACCTTTTCACAATATTCTAATTTTCTGATATGATGAATTTGAGATTTTCATTTGTTGTCATTTGTAATCATCAAAATTAAACAAAATAAACATCTGAAATATATGAGTTTGTATGTAATGTATGAATATAATATACAAGTTTCACTTTTTAAATGGAATTACTGAAATCAATCTACTTTTTCATGATATTCTAATTTTATGACCAGCACCTGTAGTGATCTGAACCTGTTTCCATGAGTCAGAGCAACATTTCTTAGGAGAGCTGGAGCTTAAAGCATCATCGCTTCAATCATGTTGCTCTTTTCATCCTGTTGTAAAAAATCGACCCAACCTTCTGCTGGTAGATATTTATTACTGCAGTCAAGTAGTTTTGGGATGCTTGAATTCATACTGATTATAAATGGACCATGATTGCTGGAACCCATCCCATAATAGAGGACACCATGTTAAACTAACCAAAGCATCATTTCAGAAGCCTAAACTCACTTTTTTTTTTTTTAAAGGATGAACTTAATGATACAACAACCAACCAAGTCTGACACCTGCAGAAAAATATAATGGAAAAAAATCAGAAAATAAAAGTATTAAAAGCAGCTCAGAGGAAGGTGGCCACTGATCTGTTTACTCAAGGGATTGCTGATTGCCTGAAAAAAGTGAAGCCACCTGCAGGCATGTTGGTACTCCCCGCTCCCACGAAGATGAACAGTAAAAATACCTACATGTGTAGCATTTGACTGCAAAAAGAAGCAGTTTGCTGGCTGTGGGAAAACGTTTCACAGGTATTTCAGTCAGTGGATGTAGCAACAATGAACATCCACATATATACACCAATGCATCACATAGTATAGTATGTAGCGCAACATTAGTCTGGCTATCTCAGACTGACTGGAAGACATTGACTAAATTAACGATTGACATTGTGTCTAATGTTAGTAAATATTCACTGTGAAATATTAATCTCAAGGCACTTTACAGTGCAAAACTGCACTACATATCGATGTAGTAATAGTTTATTAAGTGGATGACCCTGCTGTTCTTGTAATGTTTGTTGTATTTCTAATTTGAAAAAGTCATGAAATATATTGCAAGTTATATGGACAAAAAAAAGCAACCCAGAAATTTTTAAAGGCATGGGATAAAAGTGTATGCCATCATTCATGCACAATTTACAAAAAGGAAAATATTTTGAAAAATTTCTAAATTAAATGTAATATGTTATAACAATGTAATCAATACATAGAGATTACATATACATCATCAACACTTTTGGCACTTCATTATGCTTAATTCATTTTGTTGTGATGGATTTGTATAATATGTTATATTACATGATTTATAGACTTCATTCACTTCATACTGAATATGCAATGTGATGTGCCTAGTTAAAATAATCTACTTATGCTATGAAACAGAAAGTGTGTTTACTCAGAGACAGTTGCTTAGTCATCTTTGGACAAAAGTATACTTTAGAGTAGTTTTCCTGCTCCATACTTTTTACTTTTACTTGAGTAAAAAAAAGTTAACTAAATCTCAAACAAGCTTTTCTCTCTCTCTTTTAAGTGCTCCATAAACAGAAACACAGTTAATGTTTTATGTCAAAATTATTATTTTCTTTCGGTACGTAGCTTTACTATTCTGACATTTGGAGGTCACACTAATCTACAAGGAGGAGTAAACATTGTGACTGAAAGGGAACTGCCTGGAATAATTTCTTAATGACATTATTTTATTGTTTTATTATAGTGTTTAGGATATCAGAAATTGTGCAAAGCTTTAATTCAATTCAATTCAGTTTATTTATATGACACCAATTCACAACACACGTCATCTCAAGGCACTTTGCAATTCAACCAGATCATACCGTCAAATTGATTCAAAGTTTTCTACCTAAGGAAAACCAGTTGATTATACACACTAAGCATGCTTGTAGGGACAGTGAAAAGGAAAAACTCCCTTTTAACAGGAAGAAGCCTCCAGTTCACTGGGGTTCAAGGAGTCAGAAGCAAAGATACAAAAAGAAACAGTAAAAGGCGGCCCCATCCAGGAAACACACAGCCAGGCAGACGAGCTCTGAGCCAGCTACCATGTCAGAGGACGAAGAGAGCACATCCAGCCAGTCACAGTCAGAGAAACAGGACTCGAACATCTATAAACAAAGGTGTTGATGGAAGCAGCACAGCTGATATTTCTCTCCAGGATGGAATCACAGCCAAACAGGAACAGACGAGATGAAGCTACTATGAGAAAAAGCAGAGAGAGCAGAACGTTAGAGATTGAACGAACAGATTCTGTAGAGTGGGAGAATAGAGATAGAATGGAGCAGAATGATAAAATAGGGGTCCTCCAGCAGTCTAAGCCTATAGCAGCCAACCCAGTCTCATGGGAAAATGTACCCCCACTAGCAGCATAACTACTGTATAGAGATAGCTCAGGACATTTACATTTTGGTCTGTTTTTGTTAAATTATTTTAAACATAAGATGTTATAAACACTTATTCAGTACTTAAGTAGCCCTTTTATTAAATGCATTTTACTCTTGTTTAAGTGAAAAATGCGATGAAATGGTGTTGCTCTTATTTCATTACAATTTTTTTTTTTAGAACTTTACCCACCTCTGCACAGGAGTGAAGAGATGAGGATGCAGGAAAGTGGAGCATGAACCCCCAAACTAAACCAGGTCAGGTCTAATGTGCAGGAATATATTAAACTCGTTATATCTCAGAACATTCAACATTTTAGAATAAGAACAAAAATGGTTTATGTCAGAGCAAACCTGTTTTTCCCTAATATTTTACAGAAAAGCTGATTGTATAGTAATCTTTAATAAACGCTTCCTTAAACTACCCTAAACCTTCCTATTTGGATTTTTAGTTTTGGAACAACTGTGAAAACTCTCAGTTCTTGCAGCGTTGGGCATTAGATAGAGACACAAAGCTCCCCAAGGTCATCTGTGCTCTCGTTCCCTGATAAGCTTGGCACAGATGAGAACAACTTGTTAAGCTGAAGCCTTTGCTCTGAAGAAGCTTCTTTTTTTATCTCTACCAGAAAATAGGAACTTTCTGAATGGACGATTCAGTGATATCCGTATCAGAAGGTCTTCCATCTATGAACACGTCGGTTCCCTTTGGTCAGATATGAAGCTTAGTCGGAGATTAGGCCTGTTGCTGCTCTGTGAGGTCATTGTTGACATGCTTGAAGCTTTCCTTGTTCCTGTATCGACTCCTGCAGATAAAAGCATGATGTTTTTTTGTCTTCCTGCTGAGCGATAAACATTCTGTCTGCTCTGCATCGGGTCACAGCTCTCCTGGTTTTATTTCATAGTGTCCCAGATAGTTTTGTATTGTTCGTTTCTCTCCCAGATGCTGATTGTTGCTCACCAGGTTGATAAATCAAACAAACTTCCTTATGCTAAGGGGATTATAGAAAGCATGTCAGCAGGTTTCATACACATGAATTTAGAGGATTTTTTTTTCTCCATTTGCAGCTTGGTTTCATCATTCCTGTCATCAGGACTAACATTTAGCATTTGGAGCCGATTGGAGCGCCAATGTTTGGCTCCAAGTTACTGAGAAATTCATTCTATCTGGTGGATGTTGGGCTTTCAGGACTGGGAACACATCCATGAAAGACAGAGCTTTGGCTCTGGAAGGTCAAGCAGAAAAGCATCGCTGATAGGATTTGAGATTGGAGTTAAAAACTGGTTCATGCTCCACATTACATCCAAGCTTCTGAGTAATGTGTCAGATAAGGTGGTGTAAGTGTGCCGTATGGGTGTTGAAGGGTGGAGTCGGGCCTGTCAGCCTCCTATTTAACAGCTGCCGCCCCTGAGGGACCAGGGCAGTCATGGCTAATCCAGGGATTCAGGCGGGGGTTCTCCTTTCCTTTCTTTGTGCGATGTTCCTGATTGAGATAACGGTCCAAACCAATCCCCCCTGTCCAGTGTGAGTAGATGTGAGAGTGAAAGAATGAGGATGCTGCTGTCCTCCATGTTGGATCCAAAGAGTTAACAGCCTGCATGTGTTTTTTTGTCCGATTTTAGAAGTTACCTGGTCACCGTTCCGGCCATTCTTAAATCTGAATCAAAGGATAGATTCTGTGTGAGCCTCACGGATCCCGGCTCCCAGGTGTTGTTGAAGGTCATTCTGAAGAGCAAGAATAAACAAAAGGAAGTGTTTAAAAAAGGAACCAGCAACGCCTTCAACAAATGCGTGAAATTTAAGGTGAGTTCCCTACATTTATTCCAACATGTAGATGTTTTCATACAGAACCTGTTCTTGGTCTGAAACTGTCTTCCTGCACCAGGTTCCTCATGTGAACGGAGAAGAGGAGCATCTGTTTGAAGTTACAGTAAAAGGCAACGATTTTTATTCTTATGATGCAACGCGTGTGTTGATCAAGTCTTTTCATCCAAAGACTTTGATCCAAACGGATAAACACATCTACAACCAAGGAGAGGAAGGTAACAGAGCTGAGCTGCTGTGACGACAGCAGGAGCCGTCACAGGAAGCCACGTTCTTTTCATTCAGATCTGATTGTAAATATCTGTAAATATAAAAGAACTTGTCAATGAAAAAATGCACCCAAACGTGTGTCTTGACAAATGTTTCCATAACCTTCTTGTAATCTCTGTTCCTCTCAGTGAAATTCAGAGCGCTGACTCTGGACCATGATTTGGATCCGCTGCATGTGACTGTAAGTATTCTCCCTGCTTTCAGCCCCCAGATGAAAGATCGCCTCTGATTCCACAGCTTGAAATAACTGAAAGAGCCACAGAAACCCTATATATGATAAAATGAACGAAGCATTTCCATGTTTTTAAATGAAATTAAATTGAACCTGTAAATGCACCAAAAGTTTCCCTAACGACCACCCTCTCTCCTCTTCCTCAGTATAACCATATTTGGATCGAGGTAAGAAACTGTTTATTATCTGGATTCATCATTTTGACCATCAGTTGATACCTGGAAACTTTAGTCACCCTAATGAGAGCCATGTTGGGGAGACAAGATAGATAAAAATGGAAATCAAGACCACTTAATTAAAGTCGTCAGATAGATCCAGGACTGATTGATCATCTACCTTCTGTTTGTTTGCTGAAACAGGACCCTCACCATAACAAGATCGCGAAGTGGAAAGATGAGGAAGTGGACAAGACGATTCTACCGCTGTCTTACCATTTGGGCGATGGAGCCGTGGCGGGGTTATACAGGATTAAAGTGCAATCAGGCAAAAAGATAGAGTCTCAAAGCTTTAGAGTCCAGAAACATGGTAAGTCAAAGCTGCTTTCTTCTTGTTCGGCAAGTCATTTATTTGTGATAAAGCATTTTTCTTATATGATTTGATTCCAGGTTCGACCAAATTTAAATTTGAAATTCACGTACCCCATGAAGTAAGTGTTGGGAAGGAAACCTTTCAGGTTAAAGTCTGTACAAAGTGAGTCAAATTCTTCAGTCAGCAAAAAGGAAGTTCTTCTCCAAGCACATCAGAGTCAGATCCTGTTCGAAAAAGCAGATTAATGTCCGTAATGTTTTTCCTTCAGGTATTACTATGGAAGGCCGGCGGGTGGAGATGCCACGGTGAAGGTCTGCAGGCCTCTGAGGAACCAGGACTCCTGCAGCTCGGCCCTTGTCCTCAAGGATGACGTCAGCCTGACTTCTCTGTGCAAGACCAGACAAAAGCAGGTACGGTCGCCATGGTTAACGCCACATCTCTCTTTAAGGAAGGTGTTCAGATCCAGATGTATTTCTCCTTATAAAACTACAGTTTTCCACAGCAAAATACAATTTAGTTTGAAAACTGCAGCCATATGATCTCCACCCAGCATCACTGGATAAACAGGCAACCATTTTCCTGAATTAAAGATTCAACTGGATGAAACGCTGAAACTAATGCAGCTGCCAGTTCCTCAGTACAGGGAACCAAGAAACAATCTTTTAGACAATCCTCTTCTTCAGCAGAAAAATACAAGAAATTGGGAGCAGATTGATCAATTTCCATCCAGTAGAAAAGGTCTCTCTTGTGAACATGATATTATGTCTCAAGAGATTTTCATGTCTAAATGAAGGATTAAATATTATTCATCAAAACTATTGTGTTGCCTTATCCATGCAGTCACATTAAGCCCTATGTGTTCAATTTAAACACGCTAGCAAACCATCAAGGGGTCAGGAAGTATATTACCTAAGGCTAAGATTGTATGGAGGGAATTTGGCTCCATTATTGTCGCAAGCAGAGAATACGTTTTGTAAATGGAAATAGGAGAATAATTTTTTATAAAAAAATAATAATCCAGAAATGAAACTTTGGAAAAAATTTAATCAAGAACATTTTTTTTTGAGTAAATAACTGTTTTTTATATTTATATTTTTTCACATTTCTAATTAATTTCATTCTATTTATTTTGTTTTTATTTTTTGAAATAGATTGTGTTTTCTTTTTTTAACAGAATTAACATTTTCCTTTTTTCAATCTCTTATGAAAGAGATTTAAAGAATTTTACTAATTGTTTTCGTTTCAAGTTATGCTGTGCTGGTCACATTCTCTTTCCTCCTGGGCTTTTTTCTGGAGCGTGAGGAGCAAGAAGTAATTTCTATTGGTCTACATGAACATTAGCAACATTTTTATTGGTCAATATGGGCGTCAAGAGTGAGAGTTGAAATTGAGCTTGAAGTAAAGAGAATATGTAAATCTGTAAAATGCAATTTGAACGGATGTTATTCGTAAAACACATTCTAAAAACAACAATAAAAGATATTAAATTTTAAAATATAAAGTATGTAAAAAAAGCTTTGAAAAAATAGATTATAATAACCAAAATTTAAAAAAAATATATCTAGAATAAAAAAAATCTTAAAAAAAAAAAAGAAAACTTTATCCTCAAACCCCTTTTTTTTTTTTTCTTTTTACAAACAAGATGTTTTCAACAGTTCCCCTATTAGGTAGCCTTTTTTTTATTTTTTTATTTCAGTTTACAAAATGTTTTTTCTATTTTTCAAATTCCAATTTACTAAATGTGTTTGAAACAATACTGGAACAAAATCCACTCCATAAAACCTTATCATACTCAATTTCCTCCCTTAAGCAGCCTAATTTCATGGGAAATGGTGTTGGGCTCCTAGCCATTGAGAAGCGCACATACCTCCATGTTGTGCATTGCAGGTTGCTTGAAGGCCAAAAAAAGTAATTTACGCCACTTTCTGATGGGATCAAATCTTAATAACAATCTTAAAAAGAAAAAAAATAACTTGGTCAAAAACTTTATGAGTGGAGAGAAGTAATAACACCTGTAGCACCAGTGAAACCCTGGGCGGCTAGCCTTAATTCTGTTTTCTTTTCCCCCAGACGTGTGACAAAGGCTGCGCCACCTTCATCCTGAAAATGTCCAATTTCCTCAGACCTGACACTAAGCATTTGCTGGACGTGCTGGATGTGAAGGTCACACTTAAGGACAAAGAGACATGTAAGAGCCCTCCACCCCTGAATGAAAACCATTGCTGCATTAGGTGGGTGTTCTTACATTGATGTTTTCTGTTCTTCAGGTCTTTCGCACACACAGTGGGAGAGGATTCGAATAAGCTACATTATTGGAAAGTTGTCTTTCCAGAATGTCCCCCCGGTCTACTCTCGAGACACAGATTTAGAGGGACAAGTAAGTTTAGGGCCAACAGCACCAGAGGAGGCTGCTAAAAGGTTGTTTGATTCCAGGTCTCACTGCTTTATTTCACACCCAGGTCCGGGCTTTGGACGTCCACGGCAATCCCGTCCCTAACCTGAAAGTATATTTGTTCGAGCTAAAACACGGGGCACCGTGTATTGTGCAGACTCTCACAACGGATGAACATGGAATTGCATACTTTGCTCTTCCCACTGAGAAACAAATAGGGCCAATCCATCTCTTTGTGAGTACCAAGGAGCTTCAAACAGCTAAAACAAGATGGTTACCCTGGATTTTTCCCTTCAGTTTTTAACACTTTCTCTCCTTTTTGTTTTCCTTCTCATGTTTCTTTTTTTTTTCTGTCCAAACAGGCGAGCAGCCTAGACACGCTGGAGCCCGGCCAACATGTAGGTGCTTACTATGAAGTTGCAAAGGTCAAAGTGGATGTGCCCGGTCCTGGTCCTGAAACCTGCGGGTTTCTCAAGGTTCTACCAATTGAACGGAAACTTGTGTGCTCCAGCATGGAAGATTTTACCGTCCAGTACAGTCTAAGTCAACAAATTTCAGAGAACATCAAAATAATTTATCTGGTGGGTAACTTTCAATTTTTCAGTTTTAGAAAGCAAACACTTTTTAAAAAATGAGTAGTTTTAAGAGGAGACAATTTATCCCTCCCTGAACGCAAGCAGATGTGTTTAAACAAGGGCTGTAAATTAGCAAACATTTTAAAACATATCATGATACAATTTATCCAGATGAATTCCCAATAAATTAACATAGATGATAAGATGTGATTTTTTGTTTTGTTAATTAGTTAAAAAGCTGGTGGCTCTGCAGATGCAGAGCACCTTTTGGGTGGTGCGCTGCCAACTAGTGGCTGGAGGTTTAATACTCATATAAAAACAAGATGATGAAATAAAAGTTTTCCTTTAAACTCTTTTTACATTTAAGATCCATCTTACAGTATTGTCCAATTATACAAATAATGTCTAATGAAATATTGCCATAGAAGAGACATAGATAGACAGAATCTATTTTTTTCATACACCTTTAGTTTCAACACAGGCTTCAGTTCACTCTGTAGGTTCACATTTTTTCTTCTGCCAGAATATCCCTTTTTCTGGCCGTCTTCACATAGATCACGATCTAATAGAGGCTACAACTGCTTCATTTAGTGGATCTTTTACGATACTGTGCTTTATACAGTAATTTTTTTAATGAACTTTGAGCTATTGATGCCAAAAATAATTTTCAGTTAGACATTATTAAATGGGGATATTGCCACAAATGACTTTTTGATGGTTCCTAAACATTTCAGTGTGTGACCTTAAAAATAAGCCGGACACAGACTGGCCCAAAAACTCATTCAACCATTTCACTCTTTAAATCAAAATATTTTTAAAGGAACAATTAGTTGTTTCAATGATCATTTTACATGTATTTTAAATAATTTGATGTGACAATACATTTTAGAATTTCATAGTATGCCAGTTATTTTAATTGTGTTTTAGATAAAAAAAAAAGTAGCATCTATTTATTTCATGGTACCTACCTCACATTCACGTTTATTTATTTTGAGATGTATTTTGGAGGCACATATATTGCAGGGTTGAAAACAAAATGTTTTGGAAAACCATCTTGAGATCCCCTATTTGGTGTCTTTTCATTCATTCACAGATTTTGACCCTGAGCAAAATAAATTCAATTCAATTCATTCTATTTATATGGCACTAATTCATAACACATGTAATATCAAGGCACTTTACAGAGACAATTCAACCATATCATCCAGTCAAATTGATTCAAAGTTTTCTAAGGAAAACGAATTGATTGCATCAACTCATTGACTCGAAGGCAATCCCTTAAACTAAGCATGCATGAAGCGACAGTGGAGAGGAAAAACTCCATTTTAACAGGGAGAAACCTCCAGAAGAGCCAGGCTCAGTGTGAGCGGCCATCTGCCGAGGCCGACTGGGGTTCAAGGAGACAGAAGCAGACAATGATACTCAATGTATTTGTGGTAGCCATCAATTGCTGAAACACCTAATTTCTGTACTGAATAGGATAGAGAAAAGGATGTTTGGCCTGTGGCCTATAGGTGCCAGAGCACATTGCTCCCAATGGGTCGGACTTTTTAGGCGAACAAGAGGCACCCTCTCTGCTTCTTTTAGAAGAGGTTATAAAATGTGAGTGGATGTGCTCTCTTCGTCCTCTGGCATTGGAGCTGGCTCGGAGCTTGTCTGCCTGGCTGTGTGTTTCCTGGACGGGGCCGCCTTTTACAGCTGCTTTTTGTGTCTCTGCTTCTGTCTCCTTGAACCCCAGTCGGCCTCGGCAGATGGCCGCTCACACTGAGCCTGGTTCTGCTGGAGGTTTCTTCCTGTTAAAAGGGAGTTTTTCCTCTCCACTGTCGCTACAAGCATGCTTAGTGTGAGGGATTGTACTTGAGTCAATGAGTCAATGCAATCAACTGGTTTTCCTTAGATAGAAAACTTTGTATCAATTTGACTGTATGATCTGGTTGAACTGTAAAGTGCCTTGAGATGACTTGTGTTGTGAATTTGGCGCTATATAAATAAACTGAATTGAATTGAATTGAAAATCTGCTCCTGTTGTGGAAACAGTTGAGCTCTCACAGGATTCCTGTTTGGGAATGACTTTGGTACATGAATGGTACTAAATTTACCTTCCACACCAGGCAGTTCTAATGAGTTCTCAAACCTTCCTGAAAGAACCGCCTAAAGGCCAGAAAATGCCAGTAGTGCTGCTTGAGGCCTTTCTCTCTCTGCTGTGACCTCCTGCATTCTGGCCTGGTTCTTGTTAGCTTCATTAACAACTATGAACATGTTATTAGTGAATTTTTAAAAAGTATATTCTTGAGTCTATTCTTTCACGTAGCTGTTTGCCCTTAGATCATAAAGTACTTTAGCTCGGGGTCTTTACATTACGAACATACCCCAGTGCTTTATTCAAAACTGAAAACTTCTGTCAAACTCTGCAGGTACTATCCAGAGGTGAAATTGTTCACGAAGGCGAAGAGGAGCTAACCTACAGCTCAGGAGGTATGGAAGTGCAGGCCTGCCACTCTAACGATGAGAAATGCTTCCTAGATGACCCATTATATGCTCTGTTTGTCTTTTTTAGTGATTCAGGGGAATTTCACAATCACTTTTAGAGTGAAGCCACAATACGCGCCTAAAATCCACATTGTCGTGTACACCATCCTGGATTGTGTGAGAGTTCTCGCCCACAGCGAAAGCTTTGACACCCAGCACTGCTTTGAGAATTCGGTTGGTGGCTTTTTTAACCTCAGTTTTTTAATGCCTGGTGTGTTTGAAAGCTGCTAAATCGACTGCATTTTGGTTTTTCTGTAGGTGCATCCAAAGTTTCATCCATCCCCAGTCACCCATGATCAGAACGTTGAGTTTTGCGTTAAGGCCAACCAACATTCAGTATGTGGAGTAAAAATCATAGATGCGCTCACGAAGAGAGATGGAAAGACTCTGAGCAAAGAACAGGTGGGCAGCCAGTATCTTACATACTTTCCTTTCTTATGTATATTTTTTTAAAACATACACAAACACACCCCTATATGTGTGTGTGTGTATTTTAATGCAAACCAACCACAGTTGGTTTGCAATGAAATCACATTGAGATCACTCTTTTGAAGCAAAGGTTTTTATTTTTTTAAACTTTCTGGTTTGATTAAAAAGTAAAAAGTAAGACTTTGTTAGAATAGTTGGATAGAAAAACTCGTTTTAAAACTTTAAAAAGAAGAAAAATGTAACGTTTTATAAACTGTTATAGATTTAGACGAAATAAATTTTGACATTTGTTTTATTTGTTTTCCTTCTTCTTCAGATATTTGCTATTCTACCCGAGATAAAAGGCTCTCCCGTTCCTCCTGAGCTTCAGGATCATTCAGACTGCGTGGAGGTGCTTCCAAGGAGTTATTATGCTGTTTCTACCAACCAGGATGGAGCAGATGCACAAACCGTTTTCAACGTATGGAGGAAAAAACACAGATTTCTTTTCATCCGCCTTGTTTATGATATTTCTTGATGTTTTGATTGTGATTATTGATGCTCGCATGTTTTAAATCCAGGAAAAAGGACTACAAGTGTTAACAAACAGGCACATCAAGAGACCCACATGCCTCAAACTGGGAGGGATAAAATACAAGCAAGGTGTTTTTTTTTTTCAAACCATTTTATCTTTGCCTTGCATAAACTTGTTTAGAACACCTCGTGTCTGGCGATAAGGCTCAGTACTTGAAAAAGTAACCTTATGTTAAATTCTCCAGCTTTGTTAGGAAGATACATCCATCCCAAGGAACCAGAAATAAAGGAAATGGAACTTCCCGCTCCTGGAAGGCTTTCCTACAGCTGCAAAGATGAGGAGTTTGAGCCGGACTATGAGCCTTCAGGCAAGACTTGGCTGTTTGATCTGATCAACCTTGGGTGAGCTGTAGAATAAAAAATGAATAAGGGGGGTCCATGATGTCTGAGGAAATGTACAGAAATAAATGTAGATAATCCCTGCATCAGTTTTACACCTAATAATTCTTAGACTTTACCAGCTGACATAAAGTGTGTGTTGTTCTTAATGTTTCAGAGATAATAGGGAATCCTGTCTGTCCCTCACCGTCCCAAATTCCATCACCTCCTGGACAGCAAGTGTCTTCTGTGTTAATCCTCACGCATTCGGTTTGAGTCCTCCTAAAGATCTCAACATCCTTCCAAAGTACATTCTGGATTTCAGGCTTCCTGACTCCATGATCCAAGGCGAGAGCCTGAAGCTGAATGCCATCATCATAAACAAGCAGAACGTCCCTCTCATGGTAAAAAGATTATTTCACATGAACTAGACTGATAGCTGCGGGATGTAGAAGACAGCAGTGAACTTTACTGGGCATAGAACCAGATAAAATCCAGGGTTTCATCCTAAAAGGGGAATGTCATTTAAAAGGAAGACACTGAAATGGATTTTGGCCTTTTAATTATTAACGAGATTAAATTGATTGAACAATGCATAATACACTAAAAAATAAATAATGCACTATGTTAAAGTAACTAAATATGATTAAGTTAATGACGGCTGCATTATTTTTTTCAGTGTAAGGTTCTTTATGGGAGTTAACAGCTATAGCAGTGAGTTCGAAATTTCCTGGTTTCATGCAGCCCCGTCTATTTAAAAAGGGTCAATTTTATTCCATTATTGTTGCAACCAAAGAAGATCTTTTACAGATATAAATTTGACAAAATTGAAATCCAGAAATGAAAGTTTAAATATAAACAAAAACATTTTTATAGAAAAAGGTTTTCAGAGTAACTGCCAAAAAAAAAGTTGCTTCCACAATTTCATTTTTGCCAATGTATAAAAAAAAAAGCTAAATCAAATGTTATATATTTAAATACATATAAATTTTTTTATTCGTCTTTTTTTTTTTTTTTTTACAAATTGCATACTTTTCAAATGTTGCTAATTCCCTGCAGACCAATAGAAATGCATCTTGACTCTTAGCTGTAGAGGAAAGCCCGCCCCCAGAATGGAAGAGAATGTGAGATGCAATTCAAAAAGAATGCAATTCTTAAAACTCATTCTGAAGAAGATGTCTGAAAAACATTAAATCCGAAAAAGATAATATATATATATATATATATATATATATATATATATATATATATATATATATATATATATATATATATACATATATATATATATATATATATATATATATATATATATACAAAAAAATTATTTGCAAAAATAAAATTAAGAAAAATGCAAATTAACTCTCAAAGCATTTTTAATAACTAAGATGTTTTAAAGTTTAATTTCTGATTTTATTTTTCAAATTGCCAATGTCCTTCCTTGCAACAATAATGGAACAAATTTCACTCCTTATGCTCAAGCTAAAATGAACCAGTAAAATGTTTGATCAAAGGGATTTTAGGTTTCTGCATCACTTTTCTGAAGTCTTTTATCTGCTGTTTGCCTGAAATACTCAGCTAACTCCCTCCTGGCCTCAAAAAAGAGCCTCGTCTGAAGCTTAAACAGGGAGTTGAGTATATCGCTGTCATATTCCTCTGCATGGCTCAACTTCTAGAGCTGTTCTTCTTAGGAATCCTTTTTAAAAAGTTAATCTCACCTCTGAACAGGTCAAAGTGACTGCAGAAGTATCCACAGATTACACCCTCATAGCCAAGTCTGCTGAGCTGTCTACACTGTGCTTGTGCGGCAACGACTTTAAGATCCTTGAATGGACCATGACTCCAAAACACACCGGTGAGGGAAAGACTTTTAATTCCAGTTCGATTCGTCCTTCATTACTTGTGATAATTCTCCGCAATCTCTCCGCTCTCCTAAGATTAAATCGGAGCTGATCTTTCTTTCAGGGACGATCTCGGTCACCCTGAAAGCTGAGCCGCTGTCTTCCAAGGCGACCTGTTGCCATCAGCATGTGACAGTGCCAGAAAATGCAGCCAGTGTTGTTGTTACAAGATCTCTGGAAGTAAAGGTCGGTGTCAACATGAGATGTCTGCAGAAAAAGACATGTAACATTGGAAAAAAACAACAAATGTGTTTAAATGAGGCTTCCTTGGTGAAGCTGACACTTGGACTGACTGTAGATTTCCTGTCCTTCATCTCCTCCTCAGGCTGGAGGACAGGAGGTGATAAAGACAACCAGCTGGCTGCTTTGTCCAAAAGGTGGGTATAGAATGGGACCTGTGGGAAACCAAATGACAGAAGTTTGTGATCACATTTGTTTCATTCATAACAATAATTTGGTTGATGGAGGAAAAGAAATCCAACAATGAAGCCATATTTACAACACATACTCTATATTCCTGACCCTGGTACAGCATTTACATGATGCAATACTCGGATATCCCAGTATTTACTGGTTAGCCAATATCCCGCTATCTCAGGTCAGATTCAGTGGAGCCCTGATCAAGTTTCTCTTATTTCCGGAGGCAAGATGCCCTCAAAATGAAAATAAAACTAACAGCTCAACCCATTTTCTGATTAAGTCACTAATAACCAGACAAATTACATTTGTGAAAAATTTATGGAGTAAAATTTGTTCCATTCTTGTTGCAAGCGAGCGCATATACAATTGAATGTTTTAAAGTTTATTAAACATAAAAAGGACCACTAATTAGCATAAGTAACATAAGTAGTACCATTGCTGTTTTCTCAGATTTTTTTCTTTTCAATACAAATTTTTTTTCAAAGGTTTTTCATAATTGATTTTTTCAAAAAAAAAAAATTTATATTTTATTTTTGGTTCAAATTTCTTTTTTACAGATTGAGTTTTAAAAATAGTGTTTTACTGATCACATTCTCTTGACCTCTGGGGGCGGGCTTCCTTCTGGAGTAAGATTCTGTTGGTCTTCATGGACGTTAGCAACAATGTTTTCATTGGTCAATTTAAGGGTCAAAGGCGAGCTTTCATACTGGGATGGAAGTGAAGAGAAGTTGATCTTTAAAACACAATTTAGAAAGACTGACATTTAAATAATTGAGATGTAAGTCCTGCAAATAAATGTAAAAATTAAGTATGAAAAAAAAGAAAAAACATTAGAAAACAACAGAGCTACTTTCATTGATAAAACAGAGTTATTTGATAGAAAAACAATTAACTCAATAAAAACAGTGTTCAGTCACATCTAGGCAAAAATTAGGTGTCTAAACTCAGCCGAACCAGATAGTTCTCTTGCATTTGCTCATCTTCATGCTTCCTGATGTTAATTTTGTACTTATTGTAAAAAAATAGTGTGAGAAAAGTTTTATAATTAAGGTGTTTTTTGTTCTTTTTGCAGGACATTATGTTAATAAAGCGGTGGAGATTGACATCCCCAACTCTGTGATTGGTGGAAGTCTGAGCGCTCACGTCTCCGTTTCAGGTAAGTGTTGAAGTTATTTAAGGCCAATAACTGAGAAGACTTCCAAAACGACTCATCTGAGATGAAAAGTTACACCGATCTCAGCCTCTGTGTGTCTGCTTTTGCTTAGGGCACGTCCTCGGCTGGCTTCTGCACAACCTTCACAATCAGGAACATCTGCTAAATGGTTGCGGGGAGCAGAACATAGCCTACATGGAGATCTATGCTAACCTCTTGCATTACTTGCAAAGCACCCACCAGCTGAGTAACGAAATTGAGACCAAAGGGCTCAAGCTCCTGACTCAAGGCAAGTCTGAACCACCACAGGGAGAAAGAGGGAAAATTATTCCAGTTAATTATTTTAGACGGAGCCTTGAATGATTCGAGTGTAGCCTGTTGGTCTTTTCTGCTTCTCTGCGATTATTTGGGCGAGTCATTTATTTCTGTTCTCCTGCAGCCTGCCAGAATCAGCTGGCCTGCATGAATAAAGCTTACGCCTTCAGCACATCCGTCTCTGGCGAGGTGGACACCTGGTAAGGACATAACCAATAAGACCCAGAATGTGTAAAATATCCACGTGCCCGTCCTCCGGCTGCATGTTAATGTTGGTTATCGTTGCAATTTTTATTAATCTGGCAGACTGATTGGAGACTGACCTTCCAGAGGTCCACACAGCTCTGCTAACATGCACAATGATTAGAGGAATAAAAACATGATAAATAGGTTTGAAAATGGTTTCTTTAGATGATGAAACCCAAACATTTAAAGATGTTTGTAACTTGCGTCTCCATTGCACTTCACCTCAAGGTTTATGAGATTGTATCTGTGTCCTTATGGTTTCTACCAAGATAACCCACAGTGTTTTATTTGAGTTAAGGTTTGCTATTTACATTTCACCATTTTTGAAGTTTCCAGAATAGAACTAACCTTCTTTCTTGAAGTTAGGAGGAATTAGCTAAGAGATAGATGGTTAAAGTTCATCTAGTTCTGAATAGGAGACATCTGAACAAGATGAGGTAAAGTTGAAACATTCTATACTAACTAAATAACAGAGGTGTCAAGTGCCGAAGTACAAATACTTTGTTACTGTACTTAAGTACACTTTTTAGATATCTATATTTTATTTCTGAATTCTACTCCTTACATTTTCAGGTATCTGTACTTTCTATTCCTTACATTTTTAAAACAAATGTTACTCGTTACTCTTGACTTCAGTTTAATGTTTATAGATATTTATTTAAGGTCATGTGTGCCATCCAATGCAGATCATTGGCTCATCCACATCTAGTGAAAACTAGTGTAATTGGATGAGTCATATAAAGCAAACACTCATTGTTTAGTTAAAGGAAATCACCAGAAGCAAGCAGTTGTTCTTCAAACTGCAAACATGAATTATATATGTCATGCCACAATATCGGACTGTAGTGTGTTAAAATGTCTGAAAGGTCGGACACAGGCGAGAGCGTATCGGTAGATGGAGACCAACAAGACCTCCCTCATCCATGGCCCTATCTCAAAGAACTTTTTTGAAATAGCTGAAAAATTGAGCTTTCAGTTCATATAGTGGCATCTGGCTGTTTTTATTAAAGGTAACTTTATACTTTGGTACTTTAAGTAACTTTTGGAGCACATACTTTTTCACTTTTACTTGAGTAAAGAGGTCAAGTTGATTCTTCAACTTTTACCAGAGTGTTTTTTAACTGCAGTATCTATACTTCTAATTAAGTAGCAAATGTGTGCACTTTTGACACCACTGCTAAATAACATTCTGTTGCATCTGTTGTTTGTTTGAGATCTTCTGACTTTGCTTTTCTCATCTGTAGGTTCACTGCTTGGGTGATGAAAGTGTTCCACAAAGCCAGCAAATTGATCTACATCGACCCGAGGATCATAGTTGGAGCCAGGAAGTGGCTGGAATGTCACCTTCAGAAAGATGGCTGTTTTAAAGTGTTCGGAAAAAACTTTGCCAAAAGATTCCCGGTAACCCAACTGCAAAAAACGGTCTAGAATTAAGTCAACATTCCTTAAATTAAGTGTATTAACCCTTAATTTTAGTAGCTAAATAAGAAGATTTGCCAATGAAATGAGTATTTTTACTCTTAAAATATGATAATTGATAATATGCACATGAAATAAGACAATGCAATTGTTTTTTCTTATTTTAAACATAAATTGCCTTATTCCATTGGCAAAGTGGTTCACTTACTTCCTCAAATCAAGAACAAATTCACTTATTTTAAGAAAAAATTACTTTTTAAATTTGTTTTCCGGTGGATCTTAAAGATCTTGTTTTGTACGGATCCTGGTTTAGAATCGTAACACAGCAGTTAAACTCCGTGCGGTTCTGTCTTTGCAGGATGCTGGGTCCAAAGAAGTGATCGTCTGTGCTCATGTTACTATTGCCTTACTTGAAATGAACATACCTGTACATGTAAGTAAACCAAATACATTTTTCGATTACACTTTTGAAACATGGATTTTGTAAGCTGACTCATTACCCCAATTTTAATAGGAATACCTAATAATGAGGGATTATAGATTTAAGTTAAATGTGATGTGGAGGTATTCACTTTTTTCTTTGGTTTGCACTTAAAAGACACCTGATCATATAATCTCAGAACTCCAGGCCCAAATCAACTCAAACTACATCTATTTGCAGATAATATACTGTTGTATATTGAAGCCCATGTTTTTCTTATTTTGACCTCATGTTGTTTTTTAAAGGACCTGATGAGGGTCCCAGTGTGGGTAGGTGGCTTGTATTTGCAGTCAAACAGGAAATATTGGTCCTGAACCTGTCCCCAATCTGTGACAGAGCCAAAACATAAGATAAACAACCAGGAACACAAACCCAATGTTCATGTAGGCAAACCATGAGCAGTTTTTTTTTAAAGCAGAGTGTGTTTGAAGAAATAAACTGCAGAGAAGGATTCAATCCCAGAACCTTTTGACTGTAAATGAACAGCGCCGACACCTGGAGCTTACGTACAAACATGGCTACAAGAGCAAGCCAAATAGTAGTCGAAATTCATCTTTCTTCTTTCCATGTTTTAGTCATTCAGATTATTTTGAAACTCTCTAAAAGTAATTAACCTACCCAACTCAGGCCACCTGAACATAATCAAATTAATATGTTTGTCTCCAAATGTCTAAAAACAAAGCTCTTAACTGAAACATGATCTGTCCAACGTTGTCACCATCTCTAGTTTTTACTTACTGAGGTTGGAGCACAGATGCATTTAAGATTTTTCCCCTCGCTTTGCTTTTTGTTATTTTTCATTTAACCAGCTTAATACAGAATAATTTGAACTTTACAGAATTAATAAGAAATACAAACATTTCCTTCTGCTGGTTAAAATGGGTTCAAAGATTAGAGGATGATCTTTTATTTCCGGTTCAATCATCTAAACAAGTGGTCCTCCTTATTGTCAATCCTTCTGGTAATATGTTTACATAAGGCCGTCCCTTATATGCTTGTCATGTTAGCAATCTTTTTGTGCGCATGCGCACTTTCAGGCGTACACCTGTTGTGAGCTACAGTTTCAGACAGTCATTGAAGCTCACCTTTCTCTCCGTGGTTCTTTGAAAATGGCTGAGGGTTGTAAGAGAAAAAGTGTCTACGAGGTGTATGAGAAGAAAAGAAAGGCCAGAAGAGGCAGATATATCCCAGAATGCTTTGCACAGAGAGCTCTCTTTGCAAAGCACTATGGAATTTGCTGTCACTGAAGCCCGCTGTCGCCACTCCACAGTGGCGACTAATAATAAAGATGACACAGGCGCCGCGTAGTGGAGGAGGAGTTATGTTACAAACGGGGAGCAAACAGCAGTGATCATCTGTCTGAACGGTCAGTTAACTGAGTTTGCTATAAAGTCCCCGCTCTATCCAGTGATTGAGGGATTTATGGGTTAGGGCGGACATTCGGGCACAGTGAGCTTGTATGAGCTATGAGAATAGCAACTTTTAAACAGAGCGTGCACCAGGAGTAACAGGCCACTCTTGCATGAGTTTAATAGCCGTTCTTTCTCAGGAGCTGGCACAGGGTTGCGCTTTTTCTTATTGTTAGGTGGAGAGGGCGGGTCTTTTAAAAAGTTCTTGAAAATCTTCCACAATAACTTTCATGGAAAGAAGAGAGGCTGGCGGCCATTTTGGTCCAGTACAGTAAGAAAATAATTCCTTATCTTGTTTTGTCCTCTGTTAAGAATCCTTTGGTGCAGAAGAGTTTGACCAATCTGAAGCAGAACATTGATGAACACAGCAGCGTCTACGCCAAAGCTCTGCTGGTTTACTGCCTGACGTTGGCCAAAGACTGGGGAGCCAGCAGTAAGCTTATGCACCACCTCGACTCAATCGCCATCAAGGAGGGTAAGTCAGCCTCTTGATGAATATCCAGGATGCCCCACCCTTTGAGCCTGCGCCTGTATCACTAACATCTCTACATCCTCGTTCAGGGGAATTCCTTTACTGGAGTCCGACGCCAAACGACAAAGTGTCTTCTCTGTCTGTGGAGATCACTTCTTACATACTTCTGGCCAAACTGTCTTCCTCCCACTCTGGGGAAGAGCTTTCCTGCTCCTTCAGTATCGTCAAGTGGCTGTTTCATGTGCAGTTTCACCACTGTGGCTCCCACTACTTTAAGGTATTGTCTGTTGTTACAAAGTAGCAAAGCCTTTCTTCGTTGCAAATGCTCACAAAAAGAATCATATCAATTGTTTGTTCATAATCTATGATTTTCCTGTTCCAGGCCTTCAGCCTGGCTTTTAAGGCTATTACGTTGTATAGCTCTTTTGGGTCAAAGCATTATGGTTCCACCTCAGTAACGGTAACTTCCAGTGCAGACCATCTGTCCTTCCATGTGAATGAGGAAAACAAACTGATCTACCAGAAGATGGAGCTGCAAAACCCAAGAGGACACTACCAGCTGAAGGCCGAGGGCTCCTCATGCACTGCAGTGCAGGTCTGTGTCTGGAAGGCTTGGATGACGTAAAAAGTGCATCGAATGAGATTAACTGGATTGTTAAAAACTTTTTTTCCTCCTGGTTTCCAGATTACCTCTGTTTACGGCGTCGCTCCTTCGACGACGGTCTGCAGTTTCAGCGTGGAGGTGGAAGTGGTGGTGCAAAAATGCTGTGAAGAACGCTTAATCACACTGAAGCTTAAGTCCTCGTAAGCAAACAAACCGGATCCATCATCTAACCACACGCCTAGAGTAGCTGAAGAAACCATGTGGATGCAGACAGATGGAGGCCGCATAGATTCAATTAATAGAAGAATGATCGCTTCATTAATCCACAATTAGGAAACACAGAAAGCAAATAGATAGGCTAATAAAAGCAAAAATACTCACTCTGAAAAAAAAAAACTTTACAATTCTGAATAAAAAAAAATTTGAACTTCAGATTGGACTGAAGAATGAAGGAAAAACCAGCCTCACAATAACAATAAACAATAAAACCAGAACAGTTTTCTTAGATGAGGTAGAATGCAACATAGTTTGGTGACAGGAAACCCAAAGAATCTGCATCCCTGACTGTGCTGAAGGGAAAAGAAGAGAAGAGCATCAACAAAAAAGGGGAGCTGGTTTAATAAAATTATTTATTGTGCAGAGAAGAACCCAGGATTTACACACAGGAGCCTGCTGGCAAATATTCATATCTGGGAGTGTTATAAAATAAACTCCTGACAGAAAGAGTCTGTTGCTTCCTAAAACATTCCTGTCTGCATTCAAACTCAGTTTGTTACATTAGATAAAAAGCCTTGTTTTAGATTTTAAATATAAACACTTAGACCTTAGACTCAGTCTTAAAATGGCCGTGTGTCTTTGAGTCTGAAACACCAACATGTACTGAGTTCTGTTGATTTGATCTAAATTCTGGGATCCGATGTTTGACCAAAAGGAGTTTAAACATTTGATCAAAAGATGGCAGCACCAACATCATTCCAAATAATCAGCCCATCTTCTTCTGCTCCTGACAGGTACAAGGGAAGCCGGAGCTCTACCGGCGTGGTGGTTGTGAAGCTTGAAGTTCCCTCCGGATTCAGTCCAGACCCAAACTCGCTGAAGAAGGTGAGTAGAACGAGTATAACATGCTGTAGAAAAGTGAGCAATCAGACAATTAAGTACATTACAGGCATGAATGGTGATTCATTTTCTTTGCCGTTTTTTTTTCTTTCAGTGGCCATTTTATAAAGCATAAAACCTTAATCATGATTAGAGTTTAGAATTGGGTGCAGAAGTTTGAATTTGCTGTATTTTCTGCTCCATATGGGGACATTATTGGAGGCATTTGACTTCCATTATACTGTCAGGAATAACCTCTTTGACAAAGACTCCCTGATAGGCGTCTTTAAAAAAACTGAGTGGAAGACGGTTCCCTGTGATTTAAGGCTGTTTTGTGATTGCAATGACCTGGATGACTGAGAAGTTAAATAGGCATCCAAAAAAAAAAAAAAAAAAAAAAGGTTGCTGATGAGATTTTCGTTAAAATTCGACAAAACTCCTTAAAATTCTTGCCGTCGGTTTTTGCTTTTTATGGCTGTTTCCGCTATCGGCGTCTTTCAGATATTCCTATTGCACGAGTAAACATTGCGGAAAGCATGGGAGTGGCAGCCTAGTGGTTATGGCATAGAGCTTGGAATCCTGAGGTTCTGAGTTCGAGCCCCACTCCCACAGACTGCCACTCTTATTCCCTAAGCAAAGACCCTTAATCCCACACTGCTCACCGGGCGCCGCAAAATGGCAGCCCACTGATCCCCAGGGGATGGGTTAAATGCAGAGAGTTCATTTCGTTGCTCTGTACTTGTGACAGTGAAATGACGATAAAAGCTGGAAAAAAAAGCAAAATCACCATCTCTGAGTGACATGTTAACCTAAGAACAACTCACCCTCTAGCCACTCATTCATTAAAACTTTCCCCCTTGACTGATCTGTGGTCAGTGCTAGATGTCAGCATGTGTGACGACGTTATTTGGACATTGACATATGACGACAGACTGCTTGGTTAATCTGCTTTATACCAAATGAAATCACTGCAAAATCGCATTTCCCTTATTTCGAAGTTTAAAAATTTTGCTTAAAATTCAAATTTCTGTTCGATGGAGAAACTAATCCAGAGATTTATCGTTAAACCTGTCTGACCTTTTTGTTTTTTGTTTTTAACTCTAGCTCTGAGTTAATATTTTTATTCTTGAAATTAAATAAGTATATAATATGCACTTGAAATATGACGATGCAGTTGTTTTCTCTTATTTTAAATGTAAATCAACTTGTTCCATTGGCAAAGTGTCTCACTGTTCTCCTGAATTCATGAAAAAAGTTGACTTATTTAAAAAAAAAGACTTATTGAGATTAAATTTTTCTGCAGTGCAGAAACTCCTTACTTTCTAAACTTGTAGAATGCGCATAGAAAACAGGCAAGGGGTCAGAATAAACTCTACAACTTCTTTTAGACTTCAAACTTAGACTTTAGACAGATTTTATTATTTGTCATTTTGTTTACACAAGTGTAAAACAAAAAGAAATTTCGTTTGGAAACAGCTCACTGGATAATTTCATCTTTTAAAAGTGCAGCCTTGAAAATTTTTAAAAATGACTGTAAATTTACAGTTCTAAAAATTTAATTAAATACATATATATAAATAATGCTAAAATATAATAAAATAAAATACAATAACCCATTCTACACAACATTCAGCAGTCTAATGGCAGTGGGGAAGAAACTGTTGTGGAATCTGCTGGACCTGCATTGGATGCTTTGAAGCCTCTTCCCAGAGGGCAGCAGGGAGAACAGTCCATGGTGGGGGTGTGAGGGGTCATTGATGGTGTTACGGGCTCAGGACACGCAGCGCTGGGATGAAATGTCCTTTATGGAGGGAAGAGGAGCCCCGATGATCCTCTCTGCTGTTCTCACCACTCTCCTTACTTCCTTCCAGTCTGAGGCGCTGCAGCCTCCACACCACACAGTGAGACAGCTGGCCAGAACTCTCTCTATGGTGCTTCTGTAGAAGGTGGGGAGGATGGGTGGGGGCAGGTGGGCTCTCCTCATCCTCCACAAGAAGTACATGCGCTTTGGTGCCCTTTTGACCAGTGAGGTGGTGTTAACATTCCAGGTGAGGGTGTCTGTGATGTGCACCCGCAGGAATTTGGTGCTGTTGACCACCTCTACAGCTGAGCTGTTGATGAGCAGTGGAGCGTGGTTAGGACGGTTCTTCCTGAAGTCCAAGATGATCTCCTTCATCTTCTCCACATTCAGGATCAGGCTGTTATCTTTGCACCAGTCCACCAGCTGCTCCACCTCCTCTCTGTAGTCCAGGTCATTGTCGTCTCTGATGAGGCCCACCACCGTGGTGTCGTCTGCAAACTGGAACAGCATCCGCACATGGGTGTTCTTCTACTCCAGGTGTGCCAGGCTCAGGTGGAGAGCAGCAGAGATGGCGTCCTCAGTGGAGCGGTTTCGTTGGTAGGCAAACTGGAACAGGTCGAATGTTGGCGACAGACTGGAGACAATGTCTTCTTTAACCAGCCTTTCGAAGCACTTCATCATGATTTGTCAGTGCGGCAGGCCGGTAATCATTCAATGAGTTGACCTGAGGCTTCTTTGGGACTGCAATAATGGTGGCAGACTTGAAGCATGATGGCACTATGGATTGATCCAGCAAGGTGTTAAAAATGTCTGTGAGGATACCAGCCAGCTGATCTGCACACTCCTTATATACCCGTCGAGGTATGTTATCAGACCCTGGGGCCTTCCTTGGATTCACTCTCCTCAGAGTTTTCCTCACTTCAGCTACGTCCAGGTTTAGTGCCTCCCCCCCTGGTGTGGAACAGCTTTCACTGCTGGAGTGCTGTTTAGTGCCTCAAACCTTCAGTTCAGTTCATTAAGGAAGTCAGTGTTTGCTGTATCTACCGGGGGGAGGGTGTGTTGTAGTCCGTGATCATCTGATTGTCTTTCCACATCCTCCTGGTGTTGCTGTCATCGTGGAAAAAATCCTGGATCTTCTGGCTGTGGTTCTGGTTCGCTGATCTGATGGCACGGTTTAAGTTGGCATGCGCTGTTCTTAGGGCCTCCTTATCACCAGACTTTAAAGCTGAGTTCTGTGCTTTTAGCGATTTCCGAACCTCTCCATTTATCCAGGGTGGTTGGTTGGCCCGGGTGGTGATGTTCTTTGTTATGCTGACCTCCTCAATGCATTTGTTGATGTAAGCTGACACAGTCATGACACACTCATCAATATTTAACAAGTTTCCATATGTTGCTGCAGCGTTGAAGATGTTCCAGTCAGAGCATTCAAAACAGTCTTGGAGTGTCTTCATGGCGCCCTCAGACCACACTCGGATCTCTTTAACTGTCGGTTTAACCCTGATCAGCCGGAGCCTTTATGCAGGGATAAGCATGACGGATAGGTGATCAGATTAACCAAGGTGGGGGCTGCTCTGAATGCATATTTGATGTCAGAGTAAACCAGGTCTAAAGTGTTTTCACCCCGAGTTGCAAAGTCCACACTTGGTGAAAATGGGGGAGAACAGTCTTCAAGTTAGCCTGGTTAAAATCCCCAGCAATGATGAAAACACCCTCTGTGTGTGCAGATTGGAGCTCAGAGATAGCCTGGTATAAAGTCTTCATGGCTTTTTTAGTGTTAGCACTTGGGGGCACATAAACAGCAGTGACGCTAACGACACTCTGGGCAGATAGAACGGCCTGCAGTTAACAGTCAGAAACTCGATGTCAGGAGAGCAGAAGCTGGCAACTGATCTAGCATTTTTAAACCAGCTGTTGTTGATGTAAACAAACAAAAAATGATATGAAGCATTTGGCTAAATGTCTTTTCACAGCTGAAGAAGGCAGACCATGTGAACGACGTAGACTACAAGAGCGGCCATGTTATTGTATACCTACAGGAGGTGAGGGGATATCTGCGTGTTAGGAGCGCATGGTTCTGGCTGGGTGTCTTGCTCGCAGCTAAACTTTCTCTCCTTTTTTTTAGCTAAGCAACGATCATCCTTTGCACCACCAGTTGGACCTGATTCAGGAGCACGAGGTGCATGATTTAAGGCATTCAACGGTCATCATCTACGAATTAGATTGTCCAAGTAAGACTTTACAGGCTGTTACTCCGAGCTATTGTTTAAACCAACGGATGATAAATGTGCAAATATCTTTGAGCTTTTTGTTAAACTTGTTTTTCTTTTCTTTGGAGGTGTCAGAGGGGGAACCAAATACTGTGGAAAGACCTGCACCGAGTACATAGACTCACACACACACGAATACCATCATCACCTCCCTGACCAAGAGAGCCACCACGACCACGACCACTACCACGATAACAAGATTTACAAAGATTCTGCTTTACACTGTGGAAGATGGTCAATTAGGCCCGCATGTAGACGTCAACGCTTAAAGGTGAAACGACCACGCTTCAAATTTGGTCAAAGACATAGCCTTTATGAATGAGCCGCCCAACTGGGATGACATCCCTTCATACAGTGCAGCAGGTAATTAAACTGGCCACAAGTACTGTCTAGGCTGCTAATACTCTGATATCTTACAAAGTATTCTCCTGTTTTCAGGTTGTAACCAGGCTCAAGGTCATCCGTGAATCAGACATAATCGAAAACCTGCATACTTTACCAGCACTGCACTGAAATCTAATCCAAGATCGAAACATTTCTTGGTGTGTTAGGAAATCTAGCCGTTTTGGAGAATAAATGCAAAATAAAGAGATCTGACTGAGAACCTAAACTTGTTGTAATCTCTGTGTTTTCTCCATCTTTTCTGCAAATACAGCTTTGACAGTTTGGTAATAAAGACCGGGCAGAAGGAACAACAGTGAGGGCAGTCCCTGTGTTTGGTTAGAATGAAATAGGGCAAAGGATGTAGGTTATGTTTTCCCAAATTATCAAAGGCCTTTTGCCTGAACCAGTTGGGCAAGTAAGAATCCTGCAGATGAACAAATACAGAACTTCTTACAGATTATAACCTGAAGTATTTATAATGCCCCCTAAACAAAAAAAACAAACAAAATTAAAACCTATCAAGGTAATTATGTAACATTAGCAGTGGTGTCAAAATACTCTGGGGACAGAATAAATAATTATTGCGCAGGAATAGATTTAACATTAAAAGAATATTGAACCAAATTAGAATTTTTTTTTGTAGGTTTGAAAAGGGCCTTAGAAGTTTGCTTGACCAGAAAAAGAAATAAGCAGGACATTTATCCATTAACTTTGCAAATAGAGAAACTGTCTACAAACTCAGCTGTCTTTAACCTTTTTGCCTTAAGAGGCAAAAATGTTAAGCTGTGATAATCTTCTCCTTTCCCAGAGTCCTGGCAGCTTGAGGGTTCTGCGCAGAACCCTGTGCCTCTGGTAAGAGGAGCCGAGCTTGGAGGAAAAGCAAGAGCCTTAACCCCACACTGCTCCCCGGGCGCCACACAATGGCAGCCCACTGAGATGGGTCAAATGCAGAGCGAATTTCCACGTTGTGGGACAATAAATCAGTTTATCATTTATATATATTTCCTTTTAAAGCAATAACTGTCAGCGGGGTGAGAGCTAACCAGTAGGTTCGATTACACTTTTTATTTTAGATGACCTAAAATAAACCAACTCAAACTGTAGACCTAGCAACTGGGATGTTCTTAGGAGATTTAGGGCAAACTTCATTGCACATGCAAAGCTGATCTACTAACTAACTAGTTGTTTGTCTGTAAATGCAAATGATCTAATGATTGTAAATGTTCTAAATGACAGAAGCAGTCAATTTAGCCTGTTTGCCTTCATGAATAAGCAAAACATATGCTGATCTCACCTGATTGTGTAAAATACTGGCAGGAGGATATACAAATATAATTCCATCCATTGCCCGCTTCCTTTAGCAACCATACTACCTGCACAGCTACGAGGAGGATAGACCTTGAAGCTGCAGCTCAGGCGTCTCACTACTTTCTCCCAGACTAAATATGCACTTAAAAAATGCCTATCCCACAGGAACGCTGTGGTGAAAAAAAAATAACAGTGGTTTAGAAACTGCGACTTTCTTTTATACAATGGTAAACAATGAAACCAATACTTTTTTGCCCAATTAAAAAAATCCTGTCTGGCAATGTGTCATTGAGAATAATTGTCTTGATGCCAAAAAAGAGCCCAACAGCATTTGCTTTAACAAGTGGATCAGTACGGCTGTCGCCATAGTATATGTTCCTCTTGATTAATGCATATAAATAGCTTTATTATAATTCATGCAGGGAGTATTACAGATTATATGTACAATGCAATGTAGGTAGAACAGGAAAAGAAAAAAGGGAAAAAAATGAGAAAAGATGAAAGAAAGGGGAGATAAAAGGGAAATTTTTCTCACTTTATGCATGTTTAATTATCAACTTGTTTGAAAAGTGACACACTTCCTATGCAGTGCTCTACTCTCTCACCCCAGGCGATGCCAGGGACATTGCATGACAATGGGAGGGAGACCTTGACACAGTATAGATCGAGGATGACTGGCAAGAAGCCATTAATATGGTTAATTCAACCTTTATATGTAAGACGTTGAGAGAGACAGTTAAAAATACTACATCATCTATATATAACACCTTTTATTTTGAATAAGATGGATCGCCTGCTCTCTCCCTTATGCAATAAATATGTAAGGGAGGTTGGAACGTATTACCATTATTTCTGGCAATGCAGACTGATTAAACAATTCTGGGGTGCAATTTCTAAAGAGGTGAGTGACATGTTTCATGTAAAAATCAGCTGTGACCCAGGTCTGTTTCTTGTTGGCCACAATCACACTTCAAACTTACGTGAAACATTATTTTGTTTTGCTAGAAAATGCATTTAATTTGTTAGATTCAGGATAAACCACCAACTAAAACACAATGGTAAATATAAATATTTAGGGTCCTTCTTCATGACCTCATGAAAGGATTAGAGCAGTTCTTAAGGGTAATAAGAAACATTTCACTGATATGTGGTCTCCTGTGCTTAGCTATTTACCTAAAGAGCTGACGTAACTTGTGATGAGACGTCAGAATCCTATAAAGTCTTACTTCTGACCAGATCTTAATCCTTGAAAGCTCTTGTATCATATTTGATACATTTTTTTATACAGTTTTTGACACCTCTACATCATTGTTATATTTTTATTCTTGAAAACCTTGACTTACACAATAAGACGCATGTAGTGAACAAAAAATCTATTTTTTGATGTCATTTGTCAGAAAGTTCAATGACAAAAAAACAAAAACAAAAAACAATTCTGTCAATTATTTTATGGTCGAGGTGTTAAAGGGTTAAGTAATAAACATCCTCCTTTTGTATCACTGTGCATTTTCTTTCTTTGATCACCAAGCTAGATATGATTGTGTTGATGTCAGGCTTTAAATATGTCTGTTAATGTTTGCCAGCCACTGAAGACATGATTTACGTAAATGTGACATTGTACGGCGGCTTCCTTTTATTTTATTTCATATATTTTTTGTTGTTTGTTTGTTTGTTCCTGCTCCGTATCCCATTCTCATGTAAGATGATAGGCAACACAGTGTGCAATTTTCTATTTTTTTCTGTTTGTAAAAACACAAAACTAATAAAAATGTGAAATTGATGCATAAAACATACAATTATAAATCAGAGATACATATTTTAAGGACTGTATTACAAGTTTTCTTTAGAAAGTGCTTCAGAAATGTACACCATCTCATTTTAATACTAGTAATACATCAAATTGTGATTTTAAATAAAATTACTTCTGTCACAAGTTTTGCAATTGGTGTATTTTTTTAAAGTTGTCTTTGTTGCTGTCAATAATCCCTATCGACATTCTGACATTACACTATTTCTTGTTTCAATTTTAACACTAGAAGAATCCATGGGGAGATGCATGCTGCTGCTAATGGCCAAGCAGGAAGGAAAAACAATGATGGCAGCATTTAAAAAGATAGGTGTTGACAGTAAAACAATTTGTAGATACAGCTGCAAAGGCAGAATTGCAGGCTGTCAGCGCTGAGAAATATGACAATCTCAGCAAATCAATGAACCAAACGAACACTTTCATGATCCTTTTCCACAAAATAAAGGGGCCCTGAATCAGGCAGAGTCTTCTGGAGGACATCCAACTGATGAAGGAGACAAGGAGACTTCTACAAATATATTCAAGATCTAAGCAGAAGATTTTCTTTTTTAAATTTCTTAAACAAATATAGTGGGAAAGACATTTGCTATGCTGAGAATATCTCACTTCATTTAATTTTTATTTACAGTAGCTGTTTTTAGTGTCATAATAAGGTACTTTTTTAAACATGATCTAATCAAGGCAAGATAGAGTACCTCATTTAATTTCTGCGCAACTGCATTTTTTATAAAGCACGTTTTTTGTTTTATGCATGTAAAATGTTAACTTTTCTATATTTGGCATGTGTTGAGTTAAAATGTTATATTTATAAAGTAAATATTTGAAGTAATTTTTTATTTTTAGGGGATATGCTAGTGATGAGAGGTCACCTCTGACTAAAATTAAGAGAAATTCTCTGAATGTAAATTCAGAGGATTATTACAATGATTGATGAAGTTCAAGCAGGGAATATTTTGATAGTGTTCAAGATTAAAATGACATCACCTAAACACATAGGTGGAAAAGTACTTTTACGTAATAAATAAATTGGCCTTTTTAGGATGGTAAAATTCTCACGTTGTCTGTAGTAACAGGGTTATGGGAACCATAAAGCATCAGGTAACAGTCAGGTACTGCTTAAATATGAACCTGTTCCCCTCGTACAAATGTTAGCCAGAGAAATATTGTTTTCTGTTCTTCATCAAAGGTTTAATAATAAAGAAAATCCAGTAAAATCAGTAATTTTTAGTTGACACGTTTTTGACGATGATGAACTGTGACATCACTGCTGCAAGGTTAATTCAGAAATTCAGGAGACTTTCTCCTCTGTTTCTTTGGTAACAAACCACTTGTCCCCTAATAAAGCTTGGCTCTGTGTTCCCCAGTAAGTACTGGTTAATAAAGCTAAACTGTGTGCTCACCTAGTAAATTCTTCTAAACTACTCATTAATTCCTGTTTATTTCATCTGTGGTTTTCATGATAACTACCAATTAGTTCCGGATTGGTTCCTGTTCAATTTCCTGATAAAAGGACAGCGTTCTGGGTGATAAGGCTGGGCTTTGTTTTTCCCAGTCAGGACTGATTACTGAAGCTGGACGGTGTATTTCCCAGGAATTACTGGATTCATTCATTCCTGATTCATTCCTCTAGTAGTTAATCAAATTTTGTGAACCTTAATTTAAAGTGTTCCCAACATCTGATGAAGTTACTGACTTCGTTATGAAGAGGATTTAGTTGATGATCTGCATTAAATCCATGCTGAGCTACTTGCTTTGCAATGAAAAGGAAACATAAAGCTATGCCAAACAGTGGCCAACAGGTGTCAGCAGGCAAACGATAAAACGTTCTGCAAACGCATGGATGATCCAAACTCCAAAATATAGAGACATAAAACACAATAGATAACAAAATAAACAAAAGATGTAAAGGAGAAATGCTGCATTCACAGGAAGCAGGAAGTCACAAAGAAAAAAGGAAAACAGAATTAGGCTACTTTTTAAATAATGAAGTTGTCACTGTTCTGTTCACCTTTAAAAAAAAAAGGCTTCTACTCAGCGGCATCTTTTGAAACGTCTCAGAACACATTGAGTTCTGTCCTTATTCTTTTATTCTTGCTTA